TTAGCAATAAAATTACGATTGTTGGAAGTAAAATCTGCAACAACCAACGAAAAAAGAAACAAACAAAGTTATAAAAAAAAAAAAAGAAAGAAAGAAAGAATCCGAAAAAGAATTTAGAAAATATAAAGAAAAACGAAGAAGTAAAACCTCAGCAGCAGTGATAAAAGGGTGACGAATCTTAAGAAGCCAGTTTTTCTTAAGCATTGCTTTCACTTGCCTCTTCGAAGTCCCCATTTTTTTTTTAATTCTGAAGCTGGAAATGAAGATTAAACCTAAAGAAACAAAAAGGAAAGAAAAGAGAGAGGGTGGTGATGGAAGTGCGAAGAGGAGGTGGCAAAACTGAAAGGCTTGTATGGTTAGAGTGGCAACATCTGTAAGTTCGAAAGGAAACCGAGAAAAGGAAAAGTCAAACAAAAATCTTGCAGAGCAAGACTCTTTTAAAATTAAAAAGAAAGTTAATTAAAGGGCATCGGAAAATCTTAGGCATCGGGTTTCTCGGTGGGGCCCATGGGCCATTGGCCTGCCTCTTTGGAAAAACCGCGGCGTTTGGCTTGGAATGGGATTTTTCATTTTTTTACCGTTAAGATCGAAAGCGACAGATGTTTTTCTTTTCCACGTGTGTTACCCTGCTTAGCATGGGGATTTTTTAATATTTATAAAAAAAATAATTTAAATTTTTTATTTTTTATTTTTTAAATATTTTTAGATTAAAATTTTAAAAATTTTATATCTAGAGTTTTTTATATGATTATTTGTATTGATTGGTTATTGTTAAATTTTTTTTTTGTAATTTATTAAAAAATTTCAAATCTAATATTTTTAGTTTTAATTATATATTTTTTATTTTTAAAAAACGTTTCTAAAAAGTATTTAAATTTTAGATCTGATAATTCTTAAAGAATTTTTATTATTTTTTGTGAGATATTTTTAATTGATTTTCATGTAAATTATTTTTTCAATTGATTATTTTTAGTTACAATTTTTTAATTTTAGTAAGTGATTGAAATTTAATATATAGGTTAGTTTTAAGATTTTGAAGGTTGATTTTTTTTTTGATAAGTTAGATATATTTTTATGGATTTTTTTATTATCTAGGTATTTGTTTTTTTCTTTGCAAAAACTTTAGAAGGTATTATAATTGTCAACAATGCATCATCATCCCTATACTCAACTCCTATTTTTTTTATTATAATTATAATTAAGAAAATAATTTTCACATGATAAATAAAGGGTTCTTAACATACTAACTTTTTAAAATATTTAAAATAAAATTAAAAACAATAAAAAATTAACAAATAGCAAGCAATGACTTGCCATATCTCAGTATACTATCCTTTAGGGATAGTTTTTATATATAGGATATAGATAAGTTTATCTAATTTATGTTATTTTTTATAAAATTATTATTTGATATTTTTTATTTAATTACAATTATAATTTTTAATTATACATATAATTTTATTAAAATTAATATTTTTTTAGTTTTAATTTTGAGTTTATTCTAAATAGATTTAATTAAACATATTATAAATTGAATTTTTTTTACACATTTAATCCACTCGTATGACCAAAAACACAAAAAATTCGACATGGAGCAAAAATGGCATAGCAAATAAATTAGGCAACCATAACAATATTATTAGTGCATAATGATGACAAAATATAAATTCGTTTTTTCAGAAAATTTAAACTGAAATTTCAAATATTATAGTTGAAGTGATATATAAGTTTTGTACATAAAATATTGAATAAAATTTAAAGTCTCGGTATGAAAAAAAAAAAAAAAAAGTCTAACTAAGAATTTTAAAGAAAAAAATTGGGTAACTTTTAAAAATATATTAGTTAATATTTTCCACATGCCAAGAGAGTTTGAGAGATGAATAAAAAAGAAGAAAATAAATCAAAGATTGTCTATAAATCATGGATGAAATTAGATTAGAACTTTAGAAGCAAAAGATATAAATTTTTTAGAAATAAAATTTAAATATTTATGAAATAATTTACTAATTAAATATGACGATTACATCAAGAAAGACGAGAAGGGGGGCGTGTAGTATTATTAGACCCAAATTCTCGATAATGAATCTATGTTCTCTTTTATTTAAAGAGTTGGATTTGAATAATCTCTTCTTTAATATCTAAAAAATTATGCATTAAATATAAATAATTGTATCAATAATCACCCATTAGAACAAGATAAAAGTTACCACATGCAACACATGGTGGTTTCTTCTATATGTATTTTATTTCTTCTGTTCTATTACCTATTGTTTATTGAGATGGTGTTGATAATAATGAATAAGGGAAGCACATGTTTTTCATCGACAAAAGGACATTGCAATCAAAAACAACAACCAGAAAAAGCTTCACCGAAAAGCTTAGCTGAGGCCAGAAGACGACAATTTGGAAGAAAATTGACGTGTAATTATGAACCATGCAACGAGTTGAATATCTCACTTTCGTATTTTACTATTCAAGGCAACGAAAATAGCTTGAAGCTTAACCCAGGAACTTTCTTGGGTGGGTCCAAAAATCCAATTAAACAGAGCCCAAAATGTGCCAATCTTTAAAATCATCGACTATTCAGGACAATTAATTTGTTTCTTGACTTTTTATAAAATAAAATACAATTAGTACTCAGAAGGGTTAGACAAAACATCCACGAGGGAGATGATCATGGGATTGTACACCGTTTAAGTTTACCCCTGTATTAATTGCACTATTTTAAAGTGAATTTTTGTTTCTTTTAAACTTGATTATGATCAATAATCACCACCATATTGGTATCATTATTATTCTTATTGATTTTTAGATTGGTTGATTATATAATCATTAATAAGGTTGCAGGATGCAACAACCGAATCTAACTTTATCAAGGAAAGAAAAGAAAAAAAAAAAAACCTACAAAAACAGAAAAGTGAGGAAAAGAAAGTGTTGGTGAGAAAAAATTTTGAGAAAATCGAAAATCAATTTAAAATTATAATGTTTGATTCAATTGGATTATTTTTTTATTTGATTCGAGTTAAATTCAGATATTAAATATATATTAGAATTACATTGAATTTTATATAAAAAAATAAAAATTAAAAAAATTAAACCGAATCAAATTATATTTTTTATTAACTTTATATATATTTTATATAAAATAAAAATAATTATTTTATACTTAAATATATTTAAATATATTTAAAATTATATTAAAATAATTAAAAATAAATAAATTTAAATTTAAAAAATCAATAAATCAAACCAATAAAATTCAAATCAAATCAAATTAATTAATATAAATTTTTTATTAAAATTCAAATTAAAATTTTAAAATTTAAAATTTTATATTATTAAAAAAATTAAATCAAATCTCGTTCAATCCGAATAATTATCAACTTAAAAAGGAAAAGTTGAAGAACAACTAGAGCTTCACCATAATCTATATCTAGTAAGTGGCTTTTTTGCATTGTCAGGGGCTAAGGCCCACTCATGAATCTCTCTCCGTCAGTCTACCGTTACGTGGACCAGGGTTTCAACCAGCTCGTAAGCTTCACCAGTTTTGAAATGGGCTTGGGCTAAGATTTCAAGACCGAGTCGACTCATTATTTTATTAACAAATATTTCGTCTCATTTAAATTTGATTAAAAATGTTTAAATAATAAACATAAGGAATACATCGATGCATATGATTTTAGTAATAAAATAACAAACATAAGAATAAAAGAAGCAACAATTAATTTTAGAAATTATTCTTGGTTTTTTATCTTTCAATTTAAGTTTAAATGATATAAAATATTAAATATTAATATAGAAGCAAATTTAAACAATAAAACAAATTTTTTTTTTTTACAAACAGAGATCAGATGCTGTAACTATTTTTTAAATAAACATTTCAAAAAGTTCGAATTTAAAATATCTTAATCGGATTCTTGTATTTTAACTATTAAAATTATTTTAAAAAATTTATAATAATTAAGACACTTATCTTATAAGTTAATTTATTACAAAATGTCTCAAATGGGACATATTTACCATTTAGTCTTCAAGACTTTAATTGATAAAGGTCAAATCGATGTCCATAGACGCCTGGTACCAATAATTTATATGCAGTCAATAAATAATACGTTTTGATCTCATAATTATCAGACAACTTTAAAAATAATTTTAAAGTCTTTGTTGATAAATATTTTTGACTTTTAATTGTTTGGTTAAACAAAAACATTTATAAAATAAAGGTTTGAGAATTAATTAAAGTTGAAATCGGAAATCGTGCACAATAGCAATAAGGAGAATGATAGTTTGGGTGAGCCATTTCACTGCAATTCCCAGTCCAAGTTTCTCCAAATTCCACAATTTGACCATTAACAACCATAAATTAATATAACTCATTTATTACAACGATAGAGAAGAGCTTAATAGTTATTGTTAAAAATACAATTGATCTAGTTCGAATCAATATAATATTAAGTTTGAATTTAAATTTAATTTAAAATTTAATGATTAAAATTCATATTGAATTCAATCGAATTTTATTTTTTTAATTTAAATTGAACTCAAGATAATAATTGAGCTATTCGAATTCGATTGATTAAGTTTATTAAGATGTAAAATAAATTCGATAAAAGCTCGATTATTTATATTCGAGTTCGAGTTGAAGATATTTTATTAATTAAAATAATTAAAATATATTAAAATATAAAAATTTGATTAGGCTCACAAACTATTCAAGTTAAGTATAAAAATGTTTGAACTCAGTTCGATCTATAAGTTGAGCTACTCGAGCTTGATTCAATAATAATCAAATCAAATTCAAATTTTATTCTAGTTGAACTCAAGTAATTCACGGGTAATAATGTATCATTTACATTCTTAGTTATCATAGATTAAATTAACACAGTTAATAAAAAATCTTATTAGTTAATCCCATGGCACTAACATATAATCATGATAACCCCCTTGAATTTTTTTTCATCTAAGATGCTTAACCAAATATTCGGACATTAGAGAATATCTTAATGGAATGTATTAGTAGGGAAGCTGCGGAGCACAACTATGTCAACAGTAATACCAGCCCCTAATCCACACAAAACGCCCCACTCTTGACCTTCGCCTGTGGTGGCCTTTCCTACCTCCAAGGATTTCCTTCTCATCTTATCCAGAATAAAGAACACGGTTCCCGAAAACATGTTCCCAAATTCGCTAAGCACATGTTGAGTCGCTAAAAGTTTTTCCTTTTTCAGCCGAAGTATGAGCTCAATCTGGTCAAGAATTGCATTCCCTGGATGAACTATCCAAAACAATCGGTTCCAATCCTCAAAACTCATTAGGTTTAATGCTTGAGCCAGGCAGCTTTCAATATTATTAGCTATCAGTTTTGGAACATCTTTTGACAAATGAATACTGAGGCCTGCTTCACGTAAATGTCCTTCAATCGCACCATGCGAGTCAGGCACAATATTCTCTGTTGCAGAAATAATTTGGAAAAGTGGTCTTTCCTTTAAGAGGTCAGGATCAGCACCAATGATCATAGCCACTGCACCATCACCCATAATTGCATTGCCGATGAGCGAAGGTGTGTCATGTTCATTGGGTGCACGAAAAGTACCAAACGAAATGTCAGAGCTGCCAACAAGAACTCGTGCACCCGCATTGTTTTCAGCGAAGTCCTTGGCCATTCGGAGGATGGTTCCGCTAGCATAGCAACCTTGGAAATACATCATTACTCTTTTGATTGATGAAGGTAGGCCAAGCAGCTTCGTAAGATGATAATCTGCTCCAGGCATGTCCACACCTGAAATTGCAGAGAACATGAGGTGTGTGATGGTCGCTTTTGATGCTGCCTCCGGGGCAAGTTTGGGTACTTCAGGGACGATAATTTGTTGACGTATATCAAGAGATTTGCCAATGTAAGTGGTGATGTTAGGATTCTGATAAATTATTTCCTCGGTGAGGACAAAGTGTCGTTTCCTTATCATTGATTTCTCACCTGTTAGAGTTATAAATAACCTTAAAAATGCTGCAAAATATACCAAAAAATGTAAAATCAAAGTGTAGCGACTAATAAATTTTATTGTCAAGGAGAAATTATATATGATTAAACTTTATACCTTCAAAAAAAATTCTATCAGTTATACTTACATGTACGTTTGAATTTTTTTTTCAACTGTACAATATGCTCGCTTTTAGTGATTCTAAAATAATAATCGGAGAAGTCAGCCTGAGAAATATAATTAGCCGGATTTGCTTTGCCAATGGAAAGAATTGTTTCAAGACCTTGAGCTGATGTCCGCCTTCCAAAATTCTCTAACGAAGACATTGGTGGCAAACCTAGTTTGGATGTAAAAGCAACAGATAAAATGAATTATAGTCAAAGAATGATCATTAAAAATATTAAAATTAAAAATTATATATAATCAAAATTTTAAATTATCTAAAAATTATAAAATTATAAAAAAATTTTTGTCAAATAATAGTTTTATTTTTAAATAATTAAAAATTAATAAAAAATAAAAAATTATTTATTAGCTTAAATAATAAAATTTATTTATTAATTTGTTATATATAATAAAAAAAATAAAAAAGAAAGTTTGTAATTGGAATGGGGTTTTGATTAAAAGTTGACAGGTAAAAATAAAAGAAAAAAGTAATAATACCATCCCAACCAAAAGATCCATTCGAATCTCCAAGGATTCGTCAACACAAAATTGAATGACAACCATTGTGATGTTCAATACTACACCCCATATTGTCAACATTTATAATTCCCTATCCTCAATCAGTTAATTCTGATAATCATGACTGCATATTAGATAACATTATTTAATTGTGATAATGATTGACTGCGTATCCTTTCGGCACCGAGAAACATATCTAGGACTTAAGATCTTTGAGCGATGATATTAAATTTAATGAAATTAAAAATAATAATAGTGGTGAAGTTAATTATTATAGTGATGAGATTAAATATTATTATGATAAAATTAAAATTAATAATAAAATATGTATTTAGATATAATTACAATAATAATAATGAGATAAAAAATAATAAAAATAAAAATTAATTATTAAAGATATTATATTAAATTTTATATAAAATAAAAAATTTAAATTATTTTACATTTATAAAATTAATAAATAATTAAAATTTACTAAAATTAGTTTTATTTCAAATAATAATTTTATTAATAAATATTTAAAAATTAATAAAATTGATAACAATATCTACAAATGATTTTTTAAAAATTGATATTAATTATTTATATTAAAATATTAATTATTTTTATTCAAAATAAAATTTAAAAATAATAAAATGAAAAGAAATGAAAAAAACTTTTAAATAAAAAAATCAAAATAAAAAATGGACAAAAATAGACTAAATATATTTTCATTGCTACATTAAAATTAAAAAAAAAAAAAGACAACAAGAGCTTTTTCGAAAAGATAGGGTTCACTGGTGGTGAGTTTTTTTCACTAGAGCTTGAAGCGCCAGTTGGATTTTAGAGCTGCGGCACGGTGAACTTGTATTTCTACCTCACCATGCATGTAAGCCAAATGCATTTTTTTACACTGTGCAAAGCAGTTGACACAGATTTTCATGGTAAACGCAGTTCCGTTTCAATCCAAATGCAGCTTTAATTGTGAGAATAAATGACTGCATAGCCTTTATGCACTAAGAAATAAATAATCTTATTTAATTGTGATAATCAATGACGGCATATACTTTATGCGTTACGAAATAAATAACCTTCAATAGATAACCTTCAGTTTAGTTTTAAAGAAAAAGCTGTAAAATATCAAGTTTTTACGTTCAAATCTTATTATATATGAATTTAATTTTATGTTTTGATTTATTAATTAATTTGTTTAGTTAATAATTCGATTATAAATTTTTTTTATATTTATAATTTCACAAATAACCTTATATCGAGGTATCACCAAAAATGTGTCATGACAGATACTATACGAGAAACAAAAGTTGTATTACCATGGGAATGTTAAATTCATGGCCCTTGGTTGTAAACATTGCATCCTAGATCATAATTTTACGATGGCTCTCTTATAAAAGCTTAAAAAGGGTTATGCCTATCTGGGTTTGTACTCCAGACTCTCATGCCCCAATGGCCGATGTGAATCTGAAATTTTGAAAAACTTGCTATTCTGATTGTATATTTATTCATTGGTTGTGTTATTTACCTCGCAACTTCTTTGATCTTCATACTTTGAAAGAATGTTTACCACCTGCAGCCTCGTCCCTTCTGCTTATAGTCCACTGATCTTTCTCTTCTGACCTCTGCCAGACCCTTTCTTGAATTTTTTTTATTTAAATTAGATCAAATTTGATTTGATTTTTTTTATAATGCGTAGTATTATAAATTTTTTAATTTTAATTTGAATTTAAATTAATTTTTTTAAAATCTATCCATTTTAAATCAAATTTTATTAATTTGGTTTAGTTCATCAGTTTTTAAAATTTTTTATATTATTCTTGAAATCAGAATAAAATTTTAATATGATATAGGGATTCTACTAAAATAAATTTTAAAGATATTTAAAATTCGAAATAATTTAGTTTAAAAAATGAGATTGTTTCAGTTATTCAAAACTTCTTTGGATTTTTGACTATTGATCATTAGTAATACTTTATATTCTGATTAATAATATATGTTTCACATTGTGACCATTTGATGAAATCAATATAAGTATTTTGATAATTGATATCAATTTTGATTAGATATGGTAAATAATGTAAAATAATATATTTTTAAATAAAATAAGCATGATATATATACATGAAAATAAAACAAAAAAAATATTATACAAATTAATAGGTTAAGTGATTATGTGACATGAATAGATAATATGATTGTTTTTCTGGCTCTCCACATGCTCATTAATAATATATTTTTAAATAAAAATTTCTTGTATTTTTCATGTTAATTTACTAACTATAAGTCTTTTTGTATTATTTAAGTTTAAAGTATTTAGAAAATATTTTAGTAATTTTTTTTGGTAAACAACTATTAAAATTGTATTTTTAAGTTCTTGGTTTTGAACAAATTTTAATTAAGCTTAATTCCAATTCGACACAATTATATTTAAATATATTGTAGCATATGCATCAATCCACTTGTGTATTGACAAATATACTATTGATTCATGATAAAACCGATTTTCTACAACGATACACATGACTTTTGTAATAAATCAAATTGCATCGTATTTAAGAGACAAGATAAACTAGCAAATAAATTGTAATTTCAAACCTAAACATATATAAGTACTTTTGTTCAATCTAACCAAGCACATATCGAATCACATATGAAAACACAAATAAACACACATAAGGACTCTTGCTTGGTCATAACAAATCTATCTAAACATCAAATATCCACACTCATCGTCTCTCTCTTAACCTCATGATGTCTGTTCTAGACACCCAATACAACAAATCCTACAACTTACAATATATTTAAAATCTCAATCATCAATTCAGTTTGAAAGACTTCAAACTCTTTTATTGCAATGATCGAGAAGAACTTAATAGTTGACATAGATATAACACACCTAATAGAAAGGCTTATTCGTTAATCCCATGGCACTAACATATAATCATGATAAGCATAGGATGTATATACGGACGTACCAATTACTGAACCGAATGTTCAGACATAAAAGAATGTCTTAATGGATTGTATTAGTAGGGAAGCTGCGGAGTAAAACAATGTCAAGAGTAATACCAGCCCCTAATCCAAGCAAAACACCCCACTCTTGACCTTCGCCTGTGGTGGCCTTTCCTACCTCCAAGGACTTCTTTCTCATCTCATCCAGAATAAAGAACACGGTTCCCGAACTCATGTTCCCAAATTCGCTAAGCACATGTCAAGTGGCTCAAAGTTTTTCCTTTTTCAGCCGAAGTCTGAGTTCAATCTGGTCAAGAATTGCATTCCCTCCTGGATGAACTATCCAAAACAGTTGGTTCCAATCCTCAAAACTCATTGGGCTTAATGCTTGAGACAAGCAGCTTTCAATATTATTAGCTATAGTTTCGGAACATCTTTTGACAAATGAATACTAAGGCCTGCTTCAAGTAAATGTCCTTCAATCGCACCATCGGAGTCAGGCACAATATTCTCCGTTGCAGAAACAATTTGGAAAAATGGTGTTTCCTTTAAGAGATTAGGATCTGCACCAATGATCATAGCCACTGCACCATCACCCACAGTTGCATTATAATCGAAGGTGTGTCATGTTCATTGGGTGCTCGAAAAGTACCAATCGAAATGTCAGAGCTGACAACAAGAACTCGTGCAACCGCATTGTTTTCAGCGAAGTCCTTAGCCATTCGGAGCATGGTTCCGCTACCATAGCAGCCTTGAAAATACATCATTACTCTCTTGACTGATGAAGGTAGGCCAAGCAGCTTCGTAAGATGATAATCTGCTCCAGGCATGTCCACACCTGAAATTGCAGAGAATATGAGGTGTGTGATCTGAGATTTTGGTTGCCCCCACTCTTGGATAGCTTTTGATGCTGCTTCCAGGGCAAGTTTGTGTACTTCAGGGACAGTAATTTGTTGACGTATGTCAAGAGATTTGCCATTGTAGGTGCTGATATTAGGATTCTGACTAATTATTTCTTCAGTGAGGACAAAGTGTCTTTTCCTTACCATAGATTTCTCACCTGTTAGAGATATAAATAACCTTTAAAATGTTGCAAAATATACCAAAAAATGAAAAATCAAAGTGTAGCGGCTAATGAATTTTGTTGTCAAGGAGAAATCATATATGATTAAACTTTAGACTTTGAAAAAAATTTTCTATCAGTTATACTTACATATGCGTTTGAATTTTTCTTTCAATTGTACCATGTGCTCACTTTTAGTGACTCTAAAATAATAATCGGGAAAGTCAGCCTGAGAAATATAATTAGCCGGATTTGCTTTGCCTATGGAAAGAATTGTTGCAAGGCCTTGAGCTGGCTTTCGGCTTCCAAAATTTTCTAGTGAAGCCATTGGTGTCAACCTGGTTTTGTATAAAAACTAGTCCGTCGAAGCAGGAAGCAGAAATGTTATGGATTAAGAAACAGTGAATGAATCAACTGAACTAAATTTCAAGTTCAATCATAATATTATTTACTTTGATGGTATTAGACTATTTATTTAAATTTTAATGATTTTAATCTTTTTAGTTTTATTAAAAGTTAACGTAAGAGTAATTGATAATGGTGTTAAAATTATGTTGTTGATTTCAATCATATGACCTTGTTACTGACATCATATGCGAACTTATATTTTTTTCACACATAGCATAAATTAACATAACTTTTTAATATTATACGAAAAAATTAGAATTTTTATTAAAATAAAGATATTTTTACTAAAAATTAATTTAAGTTTTATATTTTAATTAAAGTCCTAATTTATATTTTATATTTTAATTTTTGTTATTAATTTTTTAGTAAATAATAATTAATAATTAGATTTTTTTTAATTTATTCTAATTAAATAATAATTAATATTTTACTAAATATAAATCTTAATTATCAATCAATTAAAATAAAGAATAATTTTTTCTATTGATATGTATCATAAGTTCATCTTATCGTGCCATATCATTATTATATGCTTATTAAATAGGATGATTTAATCAACATATACAAATCATCATAATTTTTGAAATGATCATCCTATACCAAATTCTACCTAAATTGCATTATTTTTTTTGGGAGGAGGGCTGAATTAAAGGAAGAAACTCCACTGGTTAGCCCTTGCCCCTTAGCATATAAGCAAGGCAATTTTCTTTGTACGGAAGGGTCGTATCAGATCGGATATTCAAAATTTTTTTTCTTTGGTTTCATATATGCAGATTTTTTTATTTTATGATCCATATCTTATTAGCATAAGAGGAATATCTGAATAGAACCAATTAACATAAAGTTGGATCGAATCGGTTATTCAAAATTTTTTATGGGCTTTGATTTCAGTTTTAAATGTTCTCTAACTTGAGCTTTTGATTGAATCAGAATTTTGGCTTTTGATTCAATTAGACAAAATAACAATATAATTAAAATATAATTTAATTATATATTTTAATTAAAATAAAAATAAATAATTTTAAACAAATTGAGTTTAAAAAAAAAAAATTATCTAAATAAAATAATCTATCATTATAACTAACATCAATTAAAGAGTAACCGTGCGCGATATCTAATCTTATTTTATTGACAATTGCTTGCATATGAAAATAAATTGAATTAAAAAAAAAAGGATTATCCAAATAAAATAATCTACCAAAACAACTAACATCAATGAAAGAGGAACCGTGAGCTGTATCTAATCTTGTCTTATTGACAATTGCTTCCATGTGAGCTATACTTAAGTTCTATTAATACCAAAACTTAAATTTACCTTGAAGATCTGTAGTGTTTCTTGAAGCTAGAGAGTAGGAGTAAGAGAAGATTGTGACTTCGTGAGTGTGAAGTGAGGCCTGACTCCTGGAGGGGAACAACACAACAAGGTTTGAAGTCTGAAACAAAAAGAGAAAGTTTTGACTTAATAAAAAGGCAAAGTTTTGACTTGAAGTTAGGAGAGCACGTGTTAACGTCGGCAATGGAGTTTCAAAAAAAATGATGAATCGCTGGCTATTTGAAGTTTGAAATAAAACGAGAGTTTTGACTTATAGTTTTGATGTGAAGTTAGGAGAGCACGTGCTAATGTGGACAATGGAGTTTAAAATAAAAAATGGTGAATGGCTTCTTTAAGTTTGAAATAAAAAGAGTTTTAACTTGGCGTTAGGAGATCAAGTGTCAACATGGCAATGGAGTAGAAAAAAAATAGTGAATGGCTTCGGAGAGTCGAGAGAGTTGGAGTGAGACTTGAAGGCTAAAAACTAATAAGCCGAAGTGACGTCGGCACAGAGTCAATGAGACAGAGAGAGCGCTCAGAGAGTGGGTTTTATTTTTTTTTAATTAACAAAACAAGTTAATAAATTTTCACATAGCTAAGTGGGTAATAGTTGGGCTAAATTAAATGTTGAGTTGAACTTTCAGTTAGACAAACAGCTTTTTATCCGGTTTGTAATTTCAGTTTTGGATTATTTTCAATTCGTACTGAGTCCGAATTTTTAAAATTTAATGATGAAGAATCAACGATCCTGATTTTGATAACGTTATCCATCCGAATCTAAATTAAATTATTTAAAATTCAAATCAAACTGATTCAAATCCATCCGTTCATGTCAATTTTTCGATTTTTCCGATTCTTTTCTCAGCCTCCTTGTAAACAAGGCAAATTCCTGTTTTATTAAGCAAAAATAAAGGGTTTAAATATCCATTTGAATGATGGTGAAATTGTTTGTATAAGATTGAAAATAATAGTAGGTAACATTAGTTAATGCAGCTATAAAATTAAATTAATAGTGAAAAATGTTTAAATGTAAAAATAACAGATAAGATGAATTATAATGAAAGAATGATCATTTAAAGCATCAAAATATATATGTAATCAAAATTTTAAATTATTTAAAATTTGTAAAATTAATAAATAATAAAAATTTATTAAATTATTTTTATGTCAAATAATAATTTTGTTAATAAATAGTTAAATTTAATAAAAATAAAATTTTATTTATTTATCAGTTTAAATAATAAAATTTATTTATGAAAATATCAAAAGATAAAAAACTTTGTAACGGGGACTTTTGGGGGTTCTGATTAAAAGTGGAAGGGTTAAAAAAAATAAAAATAAAAATAAAAATAAAGCTACCATACCACCCATCACCAGACCAAATGATCCATCTGAATCTCCAGCGGTTGGTCAACACAAAAGTGAATGACAACCGACCCCCAACTACCACCAAAAGTCTGGTTACATCCAAACGGATCCTAAAAACAACTTTTACAAATTGCAATTGTCAATCATTTAATTGTGATACTCAATGACTGCATAACCATTATGCACTAAGAAATTGATAACCCTGAGCTTAATGGTAAAGAGAGCCATAAAATCTCAATGTTCTAAATTCAAGTTTCTATGTATGTAAATTTGATTCAGTTTTATGTTTTGATTCATAGATTGGTTTATCTGGGTTTGTACTTGAGACCCTCATGCCCCAATGGCCAATGTGAATGTGAAATTTTGAATAACTTGCTATTCTGATTGTATATTTCACTCATTGGTTGTGTTATTTACCTCGCAACTTCTTCGGTCTTCGTGCTTTGAAAGAACGTTTACCATCTACTGCCTTTTCCTTTTTGCTCATAGTCGACTGATCTATCTTTCTCTTCTGACCTCTGGCAAACCCTTTGTTGAAATTCTTCTTGTTCTTTTTAACATTTCCATCTGAATGACCCTTTATTGATTTTTCGAAGTGCTTATCTCTTTTGGCCAGTTTCATACCAGGTTCACTTGAATCAGGAAGCTTGCCACCATCTCTTTTGTCCCTCTTTCTCTTTCTGTGTTCTACCAAGTCATTTTTCTGCTTAAAAGTACCAAATCTCTTTCTGTTTTCTGTGTTCTGAGACCTAGTAATATTCAAACAGGTAATTAGAGACATTCAAATGCACACAATCAATAACCAGATAGAGTCAAATATTTAATTCGTGTCAAGAGATCAGACCCCTCATTTAATGAATCTGCAAGTACTTTTTCTGCATCATTAATGTCGGCTTCTTTGGAAGTCGTTTTGCTACGTCGGTTCTGCAATAATATAGACGTTAGGTATAGCCACATGTCACACATTGTAATAGGAACTTCATGGTACACATCTAAGGAACTTAAAATGGCACGGTTTAACTGCATAATCCAGGAGCAAAAAGATATTAGGTACCATATTGTATCAGGAATAAGCATCCAGTAAGGGGTGAAAGAAGAATTTTTTTCTTTGTTCCAGGACAAACTTTGTTAATAAAACATTTGACAACTTCAGATGAAGGAGATCATTGGACATTAAACGAAGGTGTACATCAGGGGGAAGGAAAGGAGTTAAATAAAAGGATTCAAAGCCTTGCTATGAGAGCAAAGCCAATTTTCCCTGCTACAAGAATTCATCAACTACTTAACCCAAATTCTTGAAGAATATACATAACTCAACATGCGTCAATTTTCTTAAAACTGAAATAATACTAGTATGACTAAGAATAAGAACTCATTACCTCTATAACGGTATTCAGAAAACCCCTGTGCTTTTCTGGAGTAACCAATTGAACAGCAGCAATACCACACTTCCTTGTCACAATTTCCAATATTATAGTGACCTGTAGAAAATGTGAATGCACAACTATGAAAATTCCTCCAATTCTATTTTTTTATATTTATATATAGCGATTATCTATTTACCTTTGATCTGAAATGATTTCTCGAGATAGATGACCACTGTAGAATTCCATTGATGATGTCGGAAAGAAAATTCTGCAGGTCTTTAGCTTGCAAGGAGGATACCAAGACTTTTACAAAACCCAAAACAGCCTGTCAACATTGTACAAAACCCTGTTACCGGGAAGCAAAAGTATTTTTGGGCAAAACAAAATAGAAGACAATCTTAAATTTGCTTTGCACTAGCTAAACTCACTTTTATAACTTCCACGGCTTTGGTTTGCAGCAAGGATAAAATGGAGGAAACAAGATCAGGAACTGAAATACAGATCTCAGGATCATTATATACAAGAACAGATAGTGCAGCTATTGCTCCACTCTTAATGTGAGGAGAGGAACCAGAAAGATATCCCATTATCTGAATAGTAGGTAACATCATCAGTCATTACAAGTTACGAATAGCATTCAGTGCACTGGTCATAATATGTTAGCGCAACAGTTTAAAAGACAGTCTACAAATGGAACTATCTGAAGAAACTTGGGATAAGTTAAAACCAGCCAACAAATTTCTAATGCCCCTAAACATGAATATCTTAAATAACAAATATATGTCCAACTTAAAGGGTTAACATCATGTTTTTGGGCAGCATGTCACTATTAATGGAACAAGACATTTTAGCCTCTAAGGATAGTTTCTAAATTCACTACATTTATCTAGGAAATGAGACCTGCATCTTCTATCCACTCACTCTAAAACTCAACCGTAAGAAAAAGCTACTGCTTTGAGACCATAACAAACTTCTAGCTAATCTTAAAGAATTCATTATATGGTATTCTGAATAATTATTTTCAACACTCAATGCTTACTAATGAAGTCTACCATGTAAAAACGTTAAATACAACTATGTACAAATTGAAAGCATCCAATTTCCTTACAAGAAGAACACACAGGGAGACAGACAAAAGGATACTTACCATGCTAATCAGTTTGTGATAGGGTGGATCAGATCTGACATCTGACAAGTTTCTTAAGGTAGAACTCATCTTTAGAAGTATATCATAAGCTGCTTTCCTAGGTTCTTCCTTCCCCTGCATATTAAATATAAATTAAAAACGCAACGAGTTGCATTACCCTATAAAGAAGAAAAAGGTAAATAATTAAATTTCTTTAGCAGCTCTTACATCCTTTAATGTGACTATAATCTCATTGAGAATAAGAAAAGGCTTTGTATTTTCTTCCAATGAGCTCATCTGCAAGAATTTTAGAAGTTAACTCAGCTGCCATCTTCTACATCTAATTCTTCAAAGAAGGCACAATATCAGACCCACGTGAACAAAAGCCAGCCTACAACTTGTTGGCAGAGCAAACGTTTCCAAAGAAGCTAGACAAAAAACATATTATGAAATTTCAAAGTTTTCATAGAAAATTTACATGACTTTGCAATACACACACACACACACACACACACACACACATTATGTTAAGTCCACAAGGGATAGATGCAATTTCCATCATGTAAGGATCAATGCGTTGGCATAGGCTCGATTCTCCATTACAGAGACAGCACCAATAACGGGCACACTTATTTTCAAAGGGACCACAGTCTTTATTATTTTCTTCTTTGTAAGAAGCCCTAAGAGAACTACACAAATAAGCTATAACTAAAAAATGTTTGTCAGAGGGCTAAACCCACAATAATGCCTAACTCTCTGCTTGACCACATTAAATGGTGATGACATATTACCATAATCTAAAGCATGAATTACAATCAACAAGAAGTGAATGAGAAATTTACACCATTTACATCTTGCTCAGATGTACAATCAGATGATCAGATATCCCAAAAAGAATAAAATACATGAAAGCACAATTGAACAAGAATCTCAATTCTCTAACAGAATGAGCTTAGATGACAGTTAACCTTCAAGGTGTGAACCATTAGCACGTTGAAACAATCAAAGCGGCTTCTAAGAGATGCAATATCGGCAGGAGATTTTAGTCCAAGTAATAGATCAATCAACTCCACCAATTTGGATGAACAAAACCAAGCATGTTCCTACATCATAACACAGGAAAATTATATCTCATAACATAGAGTGAAGATTATAAATAATGAATCAAAAGTAATATGAGAACACACACCTCTAAAATTCTGCTCAAAGCATAATAGGCTTCACAATGACCAATCTCATTGATTTCCTAAAACCAGAGGTTAGTAAACATATTCTGACAAGATTAATTAGTTTCAAAAAATAACAAAAACAGCACAGAGGTATTGGGTATATTAAATACCTGAAAAGTTTGCTTTACAAAGACATAGATAAAATCAATGAGATCCTCCCCAGCTCCTGCAATAAGAGAAGATGCCAACTCTATTATAACACACCTGCATAAAAATAAATTTCCTTAGCACCATCATATATATCTATAGCCCTCCAGAGAAAGAGAGATTGTCAGTTTAAAATTTTTGCCGAGTCCAAAAAAGTAATCATCCACTCTAGATAAGCATATTGTTCCATGCAAATGGAGCAGAGAGAAACTACTCTCCAGCAGGGGAGGACAAACACCTACAAAAATAGGCTGATCTGCCTAGGAAGTGCTGCAACTTGTCCATAACAGCATAACAAACAAAGTAATTAAGTAAATGATCACATTTTATGTTCACAGCTCGACATTAAGGTGAAGTTCCTAATAAGCACAACTGAAAATGCCTGCTGCAGAGATAAAAGAAGGGATGATCACTCCCAAAAGAATGGCTCAAAATCAATTAACTTGGCGTCTTATATTAAGCACCTTAGCAAAACCAAGGTATTATATCAAAAACATGAATGATTAGCTTCACACTGAATTGAATATTATATGAGTAAATTTAGGTCAACATCACATCACTGCTTGCAAGTCATGCAACCAATTTCTGTTGGATAATACTAGCACCTTCCATTCGAGGTCAAACATTGCTATAGTAGGGATATGGATGATTCATTGTTAAAACATTAGATAGAATTCCAACAAACCTGACATAAATAACTCCTCAACTTCAGGAACTGAAGTACGCTAGCACAAAATCAATATATACTAAAAACCACAACAACAGAGAAATAGAGGCTAACTAACAAGCCGTCAAAGACTTAGAAACAATAAGCAGAAGAAAGAAACCACTAACTAGACTGGAGCATTTTAAATTCCAGAAGGTAAGTCAGGTACACACCTGCTTGCATCTTTCCCCATAGTATTAAGATTGCCTTGTTCTTTTTCCATGATCTCATTGGCATTACCAGCCTGCTTTTCAAATTCACCTTCACCATCAACAAACTGCAGCTTCTTAACCAATGACACAAAAATCCTTTTGTTAATAGAAGAGTCTGTGATAGAAGCCAAGCATCCAATGGCATCCTGAGAAAATGATATAAGATAGGTAGAGTTCACATTAATAAGATACCAATCAAGTTATAAACCTAATGATAAGATGAAAGGACGACAGATGTGCACCTTAAGATATAAGCGCTTTGCTGGAAGTGAACAAACAAACACATCAATCAGAGCCTGAAGCATCTCAGGAGCACATGATGACAAAGCCTTGATGTTCCTGGTAGCAGTTTTCTTTGAATAAGAGGCTGGACATCTGATCTCTAATATAGAATCTCTCACTACGAAGTTGTTGGACTCACCAGCATTCTTTCCAGATCTAAGTATACTTTTGTTTTGATTAACAAGAATCTACAAAAAATAACATCAACATATATATATATATATATATATATATATATATGTTTGTATCAAATGAATTAAGGATATAAACAAATAACAACCTAAGAAAATTATTTGGAAAAAGGATTAACATAAGGTTATAGAACTTACAAAAAATACTAACGATAAAGATAAAAACAAACAAAAATTACCTGTAAGGCGACAGCAATAGTTTCATGCATAAGAGAGTCCTCCTTAAGAATATCAATCAAAAGTTCGGTCAAAACTTTGATCTTCTTGTGCATATCAATAGGATAGCGACAAAAGGCAGGTAGTAATCCCCAGAGGGTATGAGCATGAGCCAGCAAATCTTGACGCATTACAGGCTTTTGTACTGAATAAAGTCAACAAAGGGAAGGACAAAATCAAAATAAAAAAAAATTAGAAATTGGGAAAAATTCTTGTCATCATAAATTAGCAAAACATATAGAATTGAGTGGCACACGATATAGCTGTCCAAGTAATATAGTTATAATAATGAAATAAAAATTAGAGAGACACTGAAAAGCAGTAGATGCTCGGTGCAATAAACCAATTTTATCAGATACATTAAGAACCCACCACGTGCCCATACAGGCAGATGTGGATAATCTAATCCTGTGCTGTTATGGATTTATATTTATACACATTAAAGAAATGATAAGCAGTGTAGCAGAACAAAGAGATGATAGGCAGCCAATGTCATATGTAGCGTACAAACACACCAATTACAAACCAGACAAAAGCTATGGTAACAACTAAATTTCCAATAAAAAGGGGTTGCCTGTCTTTGCTTTGGCAAAGGAATCCTTATATTGGAATTCTAGATATGTACAAATGAAAAACTATGTCAGAAAAGACAAGTTTTGCATAACATATTCCATCAAGTTGCAAAAGTTAGATGGGTACAACCTTTTGAAACCAGCTAATAGGATGTTAGGCTAGACTAATTGTGAAAAGTAAGAAAAACAGAGCAGCTTACAAAGTCAAACAAAGTGAAAGAATATTTAAATCACTTTGCACAGCTACAGTTTTCACACTACTGACTATAGTTTATTAAATCATCAAGAAATACAGGTCCTTAATAAGGATCTCCATCCTCAGGAGCATAATATTAACTGAATCCTTGGCCTTCAAATATCCTTGAAAGAATCATAAACCAGTAGGTTCAAAGCAATTTAAGCCTACCACCTTTCCAGGTGCCTTTTTATGTGCATCTTTACACCTCAATTTTCAAATCTAGTCATAATCATGCTGTGAAGAAAATTTCCAACCGCAAGAAAAATACCTTTACTACTTGCTTGCTGAAAGGATTTTGCAAGTGGCACTATATGCTCCATATAATACCTGAGAGATGCTCCAACTACATAGTCTTTCAATATGGGTACCAACCAGATGTTTGAATAAATTAAGTCATCGGCATGAAGGCTTATAGGCAAAAGAGTCAGTATCCTCTCTGGTCCAATAACAGTAACTGCTGATCCTATACAATTCCGAAGCTGCAAATTATAACAAAGAATAGATATCAATAGTTTTCCAGTGATCACCATGGAAGATACTGTAACCACAACCTGAAGTAGTCAATCTACCTTAAATAGGATTAGCGCACATAATATGACAGTTCGTTGCAGAAATGCTAAACCTCTAATAAGATAAATTGTTTGGAGGTAACATGATCATAGCTAAATGTGGCAAGCATAGCACATTTTTCAAACTAATGCATTAAAAGAAAGTCTATAAAAATGCACCCTGCAGAAAGAGAGGAATATGCAGGCTTCATCTTGCTAGCCATCATAAATTGCAAACATACCAACTCAACAAGTTTGCCAGAATATTGATAAAAAACAAGAAAAAAACAACAAAGACCTCCCTGTGAGCACACTAATATCTCCATCTTTACACTTATCATCTATATTTCTAGGATTTGCACTCCCTTGATTTTGCTAAATCCATTCTTTTTTAGTTTATTCTAACTACTAGAGACATGTGGAATGAAAAATGTGGCTTTCAAAAGTACAAGGCAGATCACAAGAGCTTGCAGGTGTAAATTTTAGCAAAAAAATAAACAACTTACTGAATCGAGAACTTAAATTCAGAAAAATGTCATAACACTAAAACAGATTTTAGCAAATTTAAATCCCAAATTTTATTAGGAATTTACAACCACAATACTTATCAATAAGGAAACAAATGGAAAAGAATAAGCCAAGACTTACATGATTCATGTTAGGCTTGTCCCCACTAGCAAGAGTCATCAAGTCAGCAAGTTTATGCACAATGCCCTTCATAAATATATATGACAATTCTCCTACAACCAATAGAAGCACAAATAAGCAGAAGTTATTGCACAATAAACGTCCATACTTTTTCTAAGCATGAAAACAACCCTAAACAACATATAGGTCCTAATGACAACTTTTCATGTTCTTCACTCTAGGTTATTTATGTAATTTAAGTCTCTCTATTGTACGTTGAAAGACAAACAACTTGTCACATTGCTGCTCCTTTATTTTTATTTTTGATCATTGTACATAGAAGTCTAAAAATCATTTTAGAAATTTACGCTTACTTCAGAAGATAATTTATGTAATTTTAACTCTTACTATGATCAGGGGGTTTCTACTTGGGGTTCACAAAATAAGACATTATTAGGCTTTATAGTAAAATTATAACAAAGATTGACAATTTGAATAATCAATTTTCACATTTGTTATCATTTTTTTTTTCTTTGTTTCTTCCTGGGGGAGTTAACTCTATTGGCTCAAGCAGTTGACAGTGTTCACAAACAATTTCAGGAAATCTAGTCTGCAACTTGTTTTGACTGAGATCGATGGTTATTTTTGTGTCCATCAACTTTAGTGGCAAAGATTATCGGGCCTAAGCCATGTCAATTTTAAGTAATAGGTTATGAAAGCCATGTTGAGAATCTTCATCATCCCATAGATGCACAGGACCATTATGCCCTCAACAAGTTTATCTGGAGAAGATTCCTCCTTAATAGTACCATATTTGTTTAATAAGAATTACTAATAACTCATGATATGACAGAGTTGTAAGCACATTTTTGCTTCTGCCTAAATAAAATTTATTCAACTTTCAAAAAAAAATTGATATGACAGAGATGACGATAATAGTTTAGACACAATGTAGCGAAGCTCTGGTTTGTAGCTGATTAAGGGCAATAACAAACAATGAAAATAGAGTAAGAACCTCATGTGCTCGGTTTATTCATGTTACCATTAATTAAACATATGTAAAAAGTTTGCATGAACCAAAAAGCATCAATTCAGGCACCATGGGAAAAGTACAGTTGTAAGCTCTTTCACAGCAAATAAAGAAACAATCCAGCTTACCAAGTTTTTGAAACAAAACAGACAAGACAGCCAGAACATGCTCATTTGGAATTCCATCACTTGAACTTAGGGTATTCTCAAAGATTGCACATAGAGATTTTATAGCATCTGCTTCCTCACTTCCAAGACCATCGTTGTCAGCTGAAAAAGACTTCAGATCTATATGGTGGCTAATCAAATTCTTCATAATAATTGATGCCTGTGATGCCATGCTAGCCTCAAAAGTCAATAGAACTACATCAACATCAACAACATTATCAGAACAAAAATTTTAAAGTTCAGCATTGCTATCACAACATCCATAGAAAACCATCAGCAGCCGCAATAACAATACATACTCCACTGCAATAAAAAATAAGATAAACTCTACATCTCACATGAGAAGCAGAACCAGACATCTACAAAAAGAAACTTAGAAATCCTTATACATTTAATTGGCCCTGAGATCAATCAATGCATGACGTAATGTTTCTATAATATGGTAAATTGCAGATGATTACTGTTTTCATTGCATATGGAAAGTAAAATATTAACCTAGGGATCAACATGCCAATGTTTTCTTGCACGCTTTTGAAGACATATTTTCATACATTGCAGAAAAGTAATGCAATGTGGGAAAATGGGCACAATTGATTTTAGGAATGTTAAATAGAGAGATCTTCAGTCCAGGAAGTTCCAACTCTAAAACAAGTTTCAACTGCATGACAATAATTTAGAATCGATAGTAGATGAACAATTGTGCATATTATAAAAATGCCATTTGACATTAATAAGTTCAGGAACTGATATGACAAGCAACATCACCATAGACAAACCTCTAAGAAATCATCACAAGAAGTAATAAAACTGTTCATTCAAAGAAAACATCTTCAATAAACTATATTCTCATTGCTGTTTACAGGAATGATAAAGGGCCGTGATAATCCACTATACCCTACAATAGATTGTAAGACAAGCAAAAACCAAGGTTAACAATGCCAAAGTCCATTATTAATTGTCAAGACAAAGCACTAGCTTGACATATCTTCTTATCAAAAAATAATACTATTAAATAAGCATGTTAAATTAAACATATCAAAAAGCATACCTGCTAAAGAACCACAAACTAAAGGAACATTCTTCATCCACGAGTTTGATTCTACAGCATGGAGTTTGTCTACAGCACATTTTAACAAAGTTGATGCAGGTATGAGAGTGTCAACAGGATTCTTCTCTCCAGAGACATAAGAAGCAAGAGAAACTATAATGTTCTCCATCTCTGATATAATCGATTCAACATTTGAATTTTCAAAAAAGACTTCAATAGTTTTATGAACGTTTCGTGTTAGTGTAGAGAACTCAGAACTAATAAGCTTACATAGTTCAGATAGAATTTTTAAACGTATTTTGGCAGAGAGATATGGAAATGTAAGCTTCAGCACATTTAACATATGAAGGACCTCCAAATGTTCACGTTTTGACAATTTTTCGTCCTTAGAATCATCTCCACTCTTTATGGTACTTAAGGTAAGTGCAACAGGCATATGCTTTTTAAGCACGGAAAGTACCAATTTACTTGCTTCCTTGATAACAATAGAGGACTGGAAAGACTTAAAAACCTTCTCAAGATATTCTTGAGCACATCTCCGGACCTGCAACAAAATATTAAGTCAACACATCAAATTACTTTACTTTTTTGCCCCAAATGAATCACTATGACTATTAAGTTGCTAGTTCTATTCCAAAAATAGTGATTCTTTTAACTGTTTGTTCAATTTCAATTTCAATCTAAACTTAAGGGGCAGTCTAAAAATACACTTGATCGGAGATGCATGTAGCTCTCAATGCATCTTATACACGAACACAACGCACAACTGCATGAGCACACAAGCAAGCTCCAACAAAAAAGGGAGTGGAAGTAGGTTGGGCACTAGGTTCATAGCACTCATTGACAAGAACCATCTCTTGTCAAACCTAATTATGAATTTATAAGCATTCTTTCTAATGCATGATTATGTTGAAGACTGGAAACAACAAAATGATGCTGAGGACATATTCCAGAACATAATGCAAACAGAGACCATAAGTCCATAACATTCATCACAAATATTGTTCTGCTATTTACTTCTTCAAACATGGTTAGAAAGCAAAAAGAAATTATGAAAATCAAATTATTAATGTTATATTTGATTACCAATGAGAAAATGGTTAAAACAAGAGATTAAAACTTAAACATAATTTACCAGCATAATAAGAAATTCATGCATTTTGCTACCTCCAAAATTAGAATTTTGTAACTTTCAATTGCTAAAAGAAATATTGTTGAGTTTTGTATCCAAAAGGTCACTTAAGCTGTGAAAAGAAAGTAAAAAAGCAACAAGTAACCAGTGGCCAGATAAATATCTTAACAAACCTTGGGTCGTTTATCAATGGCGAACCCAAGCAACGTCTCCAAACCAAAACAAACCGAATCCGAATCCTCCAAATCAAAAAACCCAACAACCAACACTCCCAAACACTTCACCCCACTTCTCAAACTCGCCACTCCCAGACCCTCCTTCCTCACCACCTTCACCACAACCTCCACCGCCTCCTTCGCCTTCCCATTCGCAATCCCTCCTTTTGGTACTACCAAAACCACGATCGACAAGAACGTAAGAAGCGCACCGATTGCGGTGGAATCCAAGGCGGTCGCTGAATCATCATCGAGTGCGGAAATGGCAGCAGCGAAGTAAGCAGGGGGAGAGAGAGGGAGGGACTCGGCGGAGAGGACGGAACGCATGGCGGCGGCCGTGGCGAGGAGGTGGCGGTGCTGTGGCGCGGATGATTTTGAATAACGGTCCATAAGTTGCTGGCAAATATCGGCACCATCTTTCAAAGGGGTTTCGTTTTCGATTTCGATTTCGCTTGGGTTCCCGTCATCGTCTTCTGGGTTACTTGGGGTTGGCTTTTTCTTCATGGCTGATGATTTTGTTCAGATTTTGGGGTGGGTTTAGGGTTTAAGACAGGACGGTGATGACTGGTGATGGCCGCGATGAAGAAGGGTTTTAAAAATGGGTTCATGTCTGGTTTTTGTAAAAAGTTTTGGGCTACAAAATCGGATATGAGCTTAAAACCTGACAGTTTTGGGATTCAGATTCAATCTGGCATTTTTATCTAACCAACAAGCCCAAATAATGTTCTGTGCTGCCCAATTTCATTAAAGCTGGTCCTTGTCCAAAATACATCTTACAACAACAGAGAATTGTCTTGCAATAATACATCAACCTTAAAGCCAATGGAGAAGTTATTTTCTTTGTCCTATAAATATTGTCTTAATTTGACTTTTCATAATTTTTTTTGTTTTGACTTAATTTTATTTTAAATGTATTAATAATTAAAATATAGAGATTTTTAAATATATTTTATAATAGTTTAATTTAATGAAACATCTAAAATATTAATGGTCAAAGTTAAAATATATTTAGTTGACCGATTGAGGGTTCCCTCAAGTGATCAATTAGGTTTCTTTTTCAGTTTTATTTAGGATATTGCTTTTTATTTTTTATTTTGATTTTTTATGGAAAATAATTAAAATAAAAGAAAAATATTTATTAATAAATTTATTATTTAATATCAAAATAATTTAATTATTTTAATTATTTATTAATTTTATAAATATTAAATAATTTAAAATATTACATACCATTTTTAATTTAATGTTATTAATTATTTTTTTCAGTAATTCATATCATCACTATTTATATTTTTATGTTTATGTATATATTTTATCATTGATTTTATTTTTAAACAGAGTAAATTATCTTATCAAATCTTTTGAAAATTTTAAAACTTACAAATTATTTATCAATAAATAATAAAAAATTTAAATTAAATATTTTACAATTAAACCCGAAACTTAACCATTTACATTAACCATATTAATATCTTATAATTTATTTTAATTTATTCGTTATAATAACCTATCTTGTCGAAATAATAATTATTATTATTTTCAACTTAAAAATAGCATTTGATTGAAATGAAATAAAATAAAATTTAAGATTTTATTTAGATGAATAATGAGATAAATTATGATAAAATTAAAAAAAAATAATTACTATAATTATAATTAAAAAAGTTATTATTATTATAATTAAAAAATAATAATAAAATTTTATTAAATAAATTTTATTAAAATTAATATTTAAATTCATATAATAATGCTATGAGTTCAATCGATATGGTAAAGTCCAAATGGGCAGTAAGTGGTTGAGTCACCATTCAGCCAAATAGTTTCATTTTTCAACGTAAGAGCAGGCGGAGAGAGTTACAGGCTCGAAATTACAAGTTGCAGTTGCTAAGCAAAACATAAAAAACACGTGGCTTTTCCTTCATGGAAACTTCCATTTAAGAATCAGATCCACGCCCACCCTCCTCGTTAACACGCAAACACACTTACACTGAGCCCCTGAGCCACCGGAACACTTCCAAGTTCATTTCCATCTTCATCTCCTCGTCGGATCTTGCTTTTCCAGTTGCCTCTTTCAATTCAAGGCCCAAACTCAGCATCAACCACGCCACGCACTACTCACATCGCCTACAAATTGAACTGTGCAAAGAGTGTGATCTGAGGTGAGGATAACTGGAGCTCAGATGGGTGGCTGAGAAGTCAGTGGCGATCAATAAATGAATAAAAATCAGACACAGAATATCATCCACGCGCCTTGCTTCTATCAAGCTTAAAGGAATCTTCTAAGGGGTGGTGGCAGAAGTAGAATTGAATGACTGTAGCTTGTGCTTGTCGTTGCATCTTAGTACAATGTCGTTTCAGACCCACTCCTAGGTCTTACCATTAATTGGATAGAGACTACTTGGACACCCATGCACCAATTCATAGTTAGGTGGGCAACTCAATCAGACGGATTTCGATCCAATTTAATTTTATAAGATCAATTTAAAAAAATATATTAAAATTTAGATCAGATCAAATAATATTAAAAAAAATAAAAATAGGATAAAATTTAAATTTTAGATAAATTCGATTCAATTCGATCTTATATTATATAAAAATAATTTTTTATATAATTTATTTAATTTTTATTTATATATATTTATATAATTTTATATTTAAATATTTTATATTTAAAAAATAATATTTTATTAATTTCGAGTATGTTAAAATCAAATATGATTTGTATAATATCGAGTTCAAGTATTAAAAAAAAATCGAGTCGAATTCGATTCGAATTTTATGAATATAAAATCGAATCGGATCAAAACAAGTAAAAATCCATCTCGATCTATCTTGTTATCAACCCTATTCATAATTGAAATTGTCGACATCAAACATTTTTTTAAATAAATTTATTTATGCATATAATTTTTAAATGGTAAAGCTTTATAACAAAAATAATTATAATTTTTAAAAAATAAAATTTTAATTCACATGTTAAATAAATAATATTAACTATAATTAATTTTATAAATTATATCAATAATAAATTTTTTATTTTTTTTATAAAAATTCAATTATCAACTAAAGCATCCATCTAATCATTTGATAATCTAAAGTTATTGAGAATAATTTTTTATTTAATTAAGTTGAATTCCACAAATCATGAGCCACAATCAAATTCTTATACAAGCCACACTCAGCCTCTTTAAAATTTACAATCTCTTAATCTCACACAATTTCTACAAAAATAAAATATTTATATTAAAACTTTAACATCCTAAAGACTCACAAATAAAATAATTTATAATTAAATATATATATAATATTATGTTTGGTTTAATAAAAAAAAACCCAATGTTATTGTACTTGTATCGCTGAGTGGTGCCGTCAAGTATTAATGAGCTGTTGGCTGCACTTTCTTTTTGGTACTTAAGAAATTGAAACATAAAGAAGTGGACAGTTAAATAAGTAGTTATTAATAAATAAATGTGGAATAGGGCAGTAAAGAAGCACAGCACAGTGTTCAACAAAAGTGTTTAGAGTTTAGTAATAGACTAATAGTGGTATTAGGCTATTAGCCTCAAGCAGAAGACACTCATGCCCCTTCTTTGTCCTTGTGATAAGCACGATCCTCCACTTGAAGCCAAAAAAGCAGAGGTCAGAGGCTGTGAAAAAGGAAAGAGACAGAAAGAGAAACACATGGGTTTCGTAGCAGCAGCTAAGCCGAACGCTCACACCAGCAGCAACAAAGATAGCAGAGGCATGGGTTTACTTCTCGTTTTCTTCCCGGAAGACCAAAACAAAATCACCAGTTCCATTGATAACAACAGTACTACATCAAGATTCATTCGAAGAACAAGTTCCAGTCTCCTTCTCACCAAAGCTCAGTCTACCATCTCCATCTGTGCTCTTTTAGTTTTCCTTACTCTTCTCCTTTTCACTCTCTCTACTTTTGAACCCTCCATCCCAACCCCAACTACCTTTTCCTCCTCCACCATTAAAAACTCTCGTCGATTCTTATCCAAAAATACCCAACTTTCTTCTTCTTCTTCTTTTTCTTCTTCTTCTTATTGGTTCTTTCCAGTGTGGGACTATAAACCCCTACATGTCAAGCAAAAACCCAATATTTCTTCATCTTCATTCGCTTTACAAGGGATGGGAACTTTGTATAGACGTGGGACAAAAGCCATGAACGATCTCATTGTTAACCATGTTGTTGAAGACGTGACTGAAGATGAGCTGAGGCTTTTCTTACGAGTCTTGCATAGGTCAGGCGTCACGTCAAAAGCTGACACTGTTTTCCTTTTTGGGTCTTCGTCGTTATCTTCAAGATTCAGCTTTGTTTTTCAGGAAGAGAACGAGTCGTTCTTGAAACTCATTCAACACTACAGAGAATCGAATAATAAGGGTTTCCATGACTCTGTCTTCAGTTTTGACTCGACCCAGTTTTGGAAATCTGGGAAGAAATATGTGGGGGAGCCTATTTGGGGAAAGAAGGGCCGAGGGAGTTATAGTAATTCAACTGGAGCTAATGGTGAGTCAACTCGGTTGACTTATGGATCGGTTGTGGGGTTTGATGTGAATGAGTTGGATCCAGAGAACTCGCTGGCTGGATTTCTCGATCACGTTCCGATGAGAATGAGAAGATGGGCTTGTTATCCAATGTTATTAGGAAGGGTCAGGCGAAATTTTAAGCATATAATGTTATTGGATGTTAAAATTTTGATGTTACTGAGTGACCCACTCGGCCATGTCAGGAATCGGAGCCCCGAGTCGGTTTATATATTGACCAAGGAAAGCAGCTCCGGCAAGCATAGCAAGAGGATATCGGAAAAAGCTCAGTCTCAGTATCAGGTTAACTCAGCTATTTTGATGGGTGGAGCAAGGGGAATTCGGAGATTAGGCAATGCAATGTTGACTGAGATCGTTAGAGCTACAATGCATCATAAGAAGGAGAATTGGATCTCTGAGTCGGGAATTCTGAGTCAACTCGTCGGCAATGGGTACATACTGAAGAAAGTTAATTTGATCATATCGACCGAGTCAATTCCGGAATCGAGTTCACTCATGGGTTTGAGTTCCAACTCAGCTGCAGATTATTCAATAATCCAACGTGGTAATAGTAATCATGATCTTAATTCCATAATTATGAAGCTAATATGTTTATGTGAAGTAGATTCTTCTATTTATAAGGATTGCTAGAAAAACAAAGGAAAATTAAAAAAATGTTTTTGTTTTTTTTTAACATAATGTATACAATATTTTTAGATTATAAAAGTAAGATCGTGTGAAGGATATTCTTATGTTCATAGAGATTCTTAGCAAAAGAACAAATAAGAAATAGTTTAATTTTTAGAAAATAAAATAATATATATGTTGAGTTTTGTTCTTTCTTTTGTTTTATTTGTCAATATTTTTTTCTTTTAGAATTATATTTAGATTTATATCATAAAATTTTTATAAAATAATATTGTAATAAATGGGAAAAAAATATATGGCGGTGGTGTGAACAAGACAACAAAAGGGCCAGACGGAGAGAAAAATAGGATTTTGGCATTGTATATTATTCTGCAAATTTTCAATTATTTTATGTAGAATTTTTAATAGATTTGTAGTTAAAATAAAAATATCTATGATATTTTTATTTTCAAATTATGATTTTTTTATAAAAAAATTACATAATTGACTGCAAAAATAATTGAATAATGATTAGCACTAGCTAGCTACCAAGCATGTGGTTGTCATTCATTTCGGGTATTTTTTATTGTTTATGTATCAAAATATAAAATTTTCCTTCTGATTTGTTTTCTATATTGATCAATGGAGTGTTTAGATTTGATCCAATAATGAAAATTGTTTTCCTGTGGAATTTTCTTCTCACTGCTAAACTGCATTTCTTTTTTTTCTTTTTTTTTTTTCTATTTCCCCTTTATTCCAAAAGAGAAAGAATTAAAGAAGAAAACAACTTTACCATGTACTTTTGAAGACCTAAATGAATAATAGTGTTCCACTTTTGTGCCCTAAATGACCAAATTACTTATTTACAAGCGACATAAACTTAATTGGGGGCATAAAAGCAAAGGTTGGCAAGGATTGGTGCATCTTTCTAGACATAGAAAGTGAAAAATAAAAAGATATTATTTTTACCAATAACAAGGCAATATATTTGTGAATATTTATTTAAATTTTGGTTAATGAGCTTTATATGGTTTTTTGAATTGTTTATTATATAACATTAATTTTGTCAAATATAAAAAAATATATTTCACATTTATTATAGCTAAAACCAAATTTAAAATGTCATTCCTTCGATCTACGAATTAAAAAAAATATTGTTTTAAGTGTTAATAATTGTTATTGATGTTCGATTACAATTTGAAAGCTAGTTATAAGAAATTTATTATTGATTATCATATGATAATACTTTCATCAAGTAAGGTGTTATGTATAGTGGGTACGTGTATACTTTGTTTATATACAATAATATGGTAATACTCACTTGAGCAACCTAGGCATTGTCCTCATTTTGTAGATGTTATAAAAAAAAAAATTTTATATTTCAAAAATAATTTTTTAGATTTTTTTTATTTTCCAACATAAAAACCATTAAAAATTTTGAAAAATTAATATTAAATATACAAATGTTAAATTTTTTTCTTAAATTTTATGAAAGTCAAATATAACATAATAATTTGAGATAAAGAGAGTAATAATTAAAATATTATTTTAAAATGCAATATCTTCATCAAACTCATAGAGAACTATATATTAATAAATTTTTTTTTTCACAAATATCAATTTAATCGGTGTCAATACAATGGATGTGCATATTTATTTATTTTTTATGATTACTTGATAAGTGAAAATAGAAAAAAAAATGAAAAAGGGAAAATTTGTTGAAAGAGAAACGGAAAGTCATGGAATGAATGTGAGGGGGCCAATGCAAGAACATGTGTAGAGGATTGTGAACACATTGATGAAACGTGTGGCTGTGAATTCTTGTTTTATCCTTTTATAGAGCCGAAGCAATGCATTCACTTTTGTCGGCTCTGTTCCAACGAACCAACTCTGAATCCTTCTATAAATATATGTTCACATGCCATTGTAAGCAAAAAAAAAAAAAAGTTTTCTAAGCACGGAGGAGATCAGGTAATCCTACGTGTTTGTTACTCCCAATGCAGATCTTTCAAATGCTGACACATATAGATATATATTAAATTTTCCTTCACTCAGAAGAATTTATTGGGAAGAAAAGAAGTGATAATTGATAAAACAGAGAAAATTGTTTAACAGGGTTTGGCTGTTGCAGGGTTGGTAACGGGTCATATCAGTAAATTTTTGTTTGTTTTAAAGTTGATTTAATTTTATATTCATCAAATTTAAATTTGATTCGATGAAATTTTTTTTAATATTTAATTATGATTTAATTTAATATTATATAAATAAAATTCATTCGATTTAATTTAAAATTAATAAAATATTATTTTTTAAATTTAAATAGTTAAATATATAATTATATATAAATAAAATATTAAATAATTAATTAAATTTTTAATTTTTATATAAATATCAAATTAAATTTATTTAAAATTTAAATTCAATCTTATTTTATTTTTTTTAATAATATTTAATTCGATTCAATTTGAAATCTAATATTTTTTTTTTAAATTGATCTATAGGGTCGAACCTATGGAGACAGGCTGGGTTGCTGATCCTAATTGTGAAAGTCTTTTTCAAATCGAAGTAAATCAAGGTTTTGATGACTTGGAATTCAGATTTCAAATAATAAAAAAAAAAGCTCCTTTTACCGCTCAAAGTCTATAAAATAATAGATGATCTATGATTCAATAGCTTTAAAATGGCATGCATGTTAATTTAAGTCCTTTTGTATTAAGTTTTCGTTTAGATTTAATCATATTAAACGTATAATAAGATTAAATTTAGTGTATTATTAATTAAATTTAAATATTAATTTTAATAAATTAAAATCAATATAAATTTTATTAAAATTTTTTTTAATTAAAATTATAATAATTTTTTTTAATCATAATTATAATAATTTTATTATTATTTTTAATCTTATCACAATCAATATCATCGTTCATTCAAATGAAGCTTAAGAGTTAGTATAATTGTTTTTTGTTACAATTATTAGTTCAACTTTTAACTTTCTGTAGTTTAAGATTATTGGGACAAATTCTCCGACTTAAAAGCTTTCATGTGGCAATACATTTGCAAATCAGAAAGGGCATAGAACAGAAAGTAAGTTAGAAGGAAATTTCCCAACACTATATAAAAATGATATAAAAAATATAAAAGTGATATAGTTTAAAATTTTAATAAAATCATATATAATTTTAATAAAATAAAAATATATTTTATATTTTTATATCAACATAAATTATAACATATAATTTTTATATAAAATATAATAAAATACATAAATTATCAATATTTTATATAACATGAATATATAAATTATTAAATTTATTTAAAACTTTTATATTATAATATATTTTGTATGCACGATAAATATGATTAAATTATTAAATTTGACTGTTAATTTATTAAAATACTAAATGTATTTTAAAATTTTAAAAATTAATTTTATATCAATATAATCTGATTCTCTCGGTATTGTATGTATACGGTGGGTTGACAAAATTTTTTTCGCAAAGTAGGTTAACAAAAAAAAAATGTTAACGAATTTAGATTGAATTCGTTTTTTAATTAAACTGAATCAAATTTATTATTAAAATTATTAATCTAATGATTATAAAGGCTGAAGGTAGACTTCTAAGGGCTCAGCGTCATCACACAAACGGACGGAGAACCTAGTATGTCTTATTTATCCATGCATGAATGGCTATCGGCTAATCATTTTTTTGCCTTTTTAGCACACTTGTTTGCAAATAGATTTCCTTGAAATGTTAACCAAATAAGTTCTTATTGAAAATAATAATAATAATAATAATAAATAGGAAGGCTATTTTTGTTCGTTGACTCTTTAATTAGCACTATTTCACCACATTTTGCAGTAAATTCAATAATTAATTGAGATTATTATAAGTAACTAGCTAGTAATTAATCTGTCTCTTTAGGCAATATCAAGTATTTTCAAACTCTAAATCCAAATTAAATGAGAAAACTTATTTCCAACATTCAATGGTTAAAATTTAAAACATCAGTTCAAATTTTTCAAATTAAAAATTTGGTTGGGGTTATTGATTAATTTTAATACAATAATTGTATGTGATAATTTTTTTAATATAATTTAAAATTATTATGTGTTTTTTTCTATTGTCCAACTTGTTAATATGAAAACGATATTCATAAATTAATTAGAAGACATTTGGAGGAATTCACATAAATACTTTGATAATTTTCCACACTTTCATCCAAATCAATAACAATATTAACGACAATGACAATAACAATAGCGTACGTTTTGTCCATAAACCTCTAATTATAATTGGATCATGCATTTGCCTATTGAGGTTAGTGTATGTGATTGGCTAAGTCTGTACTTAGCGAAAATGAAAGCTTATTTAGGGCAACACACAATCTATTCATTATTGTCGGTTCTTCAAAATGAGGTCTTAATTCCATCTCTCTCTCTCATTAATTATTGAAAAAAATCTCAACAATATCAACAAAATTATTATCAACATCTTTTCTATATATATAATAACTAGAAAAACATAAAACATAGTACAATAATGTAAGTTGTGTGTACAATAATTCATTCATATTTAAGATTATTTATTTTTGAAGAACCTTTTTTTTTTTTCCCACAAATTCTACCCTTGGATGCTTATCACTCACCCTAAAAAGAGTGCTTGATCATATTCATGTTCACCCTTCCATTTACAAAAGCCAATCCACCGACACCCAATGGTGAGCCACGTTTCATCGTTCATACATGAAAACTACAGCCCAAATTTGACTGGATTGTGAGGGATGCGATGCTTGTGGAACCTTATGTGTAAGACAAAACATTGGACCCTTATGTACAAGACAAAAGCATTGTTGAATCCACAAAAGATAAGATTTAAGGCAAAAGTTTTGAGGGGAAGCCCTACAATTTTATGGGGGTGAAGTAAGGGCATTGGGGTAAGGAAATGAAGAAAATCACAAAAATTGGTGTATATATGCAAATACATTGAATAATGGAGTTTAGCTTAGGCTCCACCCTTTTTTTTCTTTGAAAATGACTTGGGAGGATTCATTGTACAAATGCTAGCTGTAAATTCCTCCAGTTGGTCCCAATTATACAAGAGAATGCCTTACTGAGGACAAACAATTGCTGACCTCTCCTAAATATTTACAATTATTCACTCTAGATAATGTCATTTTTTTTAATATTCTGACCAATATTCTTGAAGCAGGCAATTGCTGAGTGCTGACCCAGAAACCCTTTTCCTCTACAACTGATTAATATATAAATATTTGATCTTATAGCTCCATGGTCTCCTTGAGTTTATGTAGCTTGTGTTGGACCCAAACAGAAAGAAAAAAAGCACTAACAAATGATGATGAAATGAAAAAGGCAGCCTATCATGGATCACCTCATTTTTATAATCAATTAAAAATGGGTAAGTTTTGAGCTAGTGTTGTGGGTGAGAAGGTGCCTGCTCTCAAAACTCAGTGGCGCCCATCAACTTAAATAAGAATGCCAGCAAAATGACAAGTATTTTCATACACTTGCACTCTAAATAAAGGATCTCTTTAGATAAGTAATGGGTTTTAATTCTCAGAAAAGTTAGGTAGCAATTTCGGTTTATATTTGGCTGCAGTGCCATAATAAATTATTTTGCATTTGACAGATTTGAGTATGAGTAAGCACATAACCTGGCTGGAATGAATCTTTTGATTCAAAGAGAGAGAGAACATAAAATGTATGAATCTTAACGGAAATACAAAGCAAATTTTGGTTTTTAAGGCTTCCATGGATTAAATCTTAAACTGAAAGTACATACTACATAGAGTTCTATGTTTCTTAATAAATATCTGATGATAAGGTTTCAAGCACCCTCCCCTCCCACGAAGAGGGGAAAAAGACCAGAAATAAGCAACCTTATATTAAGTTGAACTGACTTGGTTTCCAAAATTTGTCATTAACCTTAACCACTGTTCATTGTTTGGCTTGTCATTCCATCTTAACAAATTTGTTTTTGGCAAAAGAAATCACAATCTGAAGATAGAAGAATAAGTTGCAAAAACTAAAATTTGAATATGTCTGAACCACACTACATGAACATCCAACAAAGCATAAAATTTACACTAGTTAAATGGCTACTTCATCTTCCCTCAATCTGTAAAGAAGATATGAGTAGCCTAACAATGATCAATATGAAAACATATGTTCTCAAACGATGAATTTTCATTACTTACATTAGAGTTCAATAGAAATGCAAATCATATATACCATCTTTAACAAATTGGGAAAAGAAAAAGTTGAATAACCACAAAGATGAGCACACGCCAATCGAATAAAAGAATGTTGGCCTGCCAAGCTGTCCTTAACTGCAATATGTGATCATTACAAAGGCAGTGGCACTAAGAGAAGAGGGGGGGAGGGGGGGAGGGGAATAAAAAAATATACTCTTTTCAGGCAACATCATGATCAATCCGGATACTAACCACAATTACATTCGTCGAAAAAGGCAAATGACAAAAAGCTAGACATGGCAATACAGGCTTCGTATACCAGCGAAACCATAATTTTATGGCGGAAGTGAATATCAAATTAAATAAGGGATTGCTATTTAGAATGCAAAGGAAGCACATAAATCACTCGTTTAAATGCGTTCGTGCTCTAGAATAGATCAGCTTTCTTCTTCAGCATGTCTTGCTTCCACTTTGGCAATTTATAAAATGCTTCTTTTTCCATCTCGAATATTGTCTGGAACTCTTCATCTGACAAATAAGCCTGAGAAATCAAAGAGTAAGAATATGAATATATTCAGAAAAAGATAGAGTTAACTTAAAAACATCAATGGCAGAACAAACCTCTCTCCTTTTGAAATCAATTCCAGTTACAGGATTATCAGATTTGGCTTTCAGTTGCTCATAACTGAATGTAATTTGAGTGCTTCCACTCCCATTCTCATCGTGCTCTATCTCTTGCTTTGGTTCTGAATCCTCCCCATCAGTTTCAGATACTACACCAGTCTCCTTGTCTTCAGCAACCTCTTGAGAATCCTCTGCTTCAGAAGGGTCCACTTCACTCTTTGCTTCAGCTGTACAATCTCAATGCAATAAGTACAGTTTCAGAATTATATTAAAAGACAGGTCAAATTCATTATCAGCAGCCGCATCAAGAAGATTTAGCAACTTCTTGTGGATCAGCCTAAAGCAATGGTTAATTTTTTTAGATAACACAGTGCAAAGAGTACAAGGGGGTCTTACAAAGTGGGCTGGTTACAGCAGGAGTGCTGCTGGTGGATTTTCTAGGGGATGCATCAGGTGATTGTTTCTTCTTTTCAGCAGTAAGGACTGAGGAAAGAGCAGCTACAGCTGCTGCTCTTTGTGACCCCTGACTAGTGCTGGAAGGCTTTGGAGCTGAGGTTTTGCTTGCTGATGATGGATTAAATGCAGATGACAAGGCAGCTAAAGCTGACGCTCTTTGTGTAGGTCCTTGATTTCCGTCGGATCGATCGTGGGCCTGCCATAATGGAGATATCAAATGCTTAACTCATACGCAATGTAAATAAATGCTTTGCATTCTCAAAATACAGGCACACAAAACTTCAGCCATAATCACTATATATGAAAACAATAATACATTATGACATGTATCACGAGGAAACAGCAGCAAAAGCAAAAGAAAACAATAATAAAACCAAATGCAGTAACATTCAAAGATAAAAGGTTCAAATGAACTACCTAAAGTTAAAACATACAAGATTGATAAAAACAAGCGCAAACAATATTCAAACCCATTGAAAAGGGGGAAAGAAATGCATTTTCAAGCCAAAATTACCTGGGACAAGAGGTGGGGAAAACAAAAATAGTCTCCAAAGATAAAACACAGCTGACAAGGCAAATTAAAGATTAAAAGTAGAAAAGAAATCTAATTCATTATTCTCCTCTTTTCAGAACATCATCCTTTTTTTTTTTTTTTGTTTCTGCCTTTTGGGATCTTGCTATGGCAGAACGCAAAAACATGGATAACAAACATTAATCCAAGGAGGCAGAACGTAAAAACATTTGGTAGACAAAAGACAATATGGCAGCTATCCTTGCAACTCTTCTTTGATCCACTCGGTCTTTGCTGATTGATGAAACCAAATTGATGAACTAAAACCCAAGACAGTCAGAAGTCTAGCTAAAGTAAAATTGACTATTTTCGAAGGCCTCAAGAAGATTATTGTACTTAACCCAATAATAGCATCAAATTTGAGTCCATCCCTAATCAAGAATGTGGTAATCATCTAGACTAGGTGGTAACGTTAATCAAATACTTGACTTTCTTTCTGCTTCCTGACAGTAATTGCTAGAATGATTCTCCTAAGTTCCTGATGATATGGTGGATATGAAGTTTCAACACTCCCCAATGTGTCAAATTTCAACACCTATTGCATGTGAGATAACACGTCAAAGAAAAGATATTTCAAGTGCTTGAAAGGACCATAAGCCTTTGAACCATAGAGTGAGGGACACTTTTGGACAGAGGAAAAGAAATGAATGCAAAATAAGCATAATAGAAATGACATTACAGCAAACAATCTTTGTCATAAGATGAAAATAGCACTGTAACTAGGAAGAGGAATGACTAGAAATGGTTTATTTTGTGCAGTGAAAATCTAATGTCAGAACTGGTTCAACCAGCAGTTACAAAAGCATGTCAGATGAGAAAGGGGGCAGAAAAAGGGACAGCTAGGGAGGACATAATTGTGATAGCTTGTGATAAACACTACCTTTTGTGCAGTAGGTGATATCTCTAAGTAAATGAAATCCTATATGCATTCTTACAAGGTATTTATCTCCAGTGTTATAAAGCCCCCTTCCAAACTTTTTGGGAACTTCAATAGGAGGGTTGTCAGCAAGGTTAGCACCTCACTACATCAAACCACCAATGCAAAGAACAAAACATAAGAATCAAACTACCAACATTTAAAATTTTGAATGAAAGGTTTCCATAAAGCATAATTGCTTTTCCTAGACTGAAGCAGCTAATAGTCTTACTGTTCTCCAAATAGTTTCGTTAGATGGAATTAAAAGGTTCAACATACTAGCTCCTTTTCAGCTTTATTAATTGCGACTCCAAAGTAGGTACAGTTGAAACTTAAAAAAAAAAGATAAAAGTTAAGAAAAAATTTAGTGGCATAAGCAGTTTATTGCCAAAAGGGTTGGTTTGGCAGAAGATGGATTGAATGCAGAAGACAAGGCAGCTAAAGCTGAAGCCCTTTGAGTGGGACCCACTTGGTTCCCATTGGGCTTGTCCTGTCTCGGCTGAATGGAATCCATCAGACAGGGAACTAGTTTAGCAGATGAGTATCTTTGTTTTGAGAGAAAGAGAGAGAAAAGCATTATCATCTTCAGATAAGATCTAATATCAGAGCCCTTAATTTACCAATACAAACTATCACCAACAAAAACTACAAGGTCAGGATCCAAGGCTCCACCTTAGGGGCAACCACTACTAAATTTCAATGTCATCAAGCTATAACAGATAATATCATAAATTCATCTTAAAAGTTTGCTTTACATGCTCAAAAGACTTCCTCTTAATGAATTAAGTTAGTAACAATATGCTTAATAGAAATATAGTTCGTGATGTCCACAATGGATAAGCAACTAGAAGCTTTTAAAACAGTAAAGAAAGAATAAAGGTTATTAACAGTAAGACAAAAAGAAGCCATATTGAACAACACCAAAAGATGTAATGTTATAATACAAGGAACCTTGAAAATTAACTCCCATTAAAATTTTACGATCCAAATTTCTCTGTACAGACAGAAACTTCATATACTGAAAATTTTCACTTCATTAGAATTAAAGAAAGTATTTACCTCTACAGCATGGCTAGCCCCAAAGAGCAATGCCACCTTCTTCTGGAATGAGTTTCCTTGCACCTGCATCCACGGAGAACATCTAAGCATAAATATCAAACAGATGCAGTTATAGGAAGGATGAACCATGTCAGTCAAACAGCCGTTAACCCTTAAAAAAGCAACATAAGATTTCATAAATTTTCAGTGAGTACAGAATTAACAGAAATGTTTTTTTTTTGGGTACACTGTGAGTGGCAACAACGGGGTAATGGTGATGTTATTCAAGATACAAGAAGCTCTCAATGGTATGATCCTTAAATTTCAACTTTTGGAAAAATTGAATGTAGTTTCTTAAAACACAGAGCACTATGCTAATCAACTCCCGCTCTGATCCATACAACATCAATGCATCATCAATATGCTTGCTATCCTACTTTTCCATCATTGGGGCTCTCTCATTTCAATTTAAATTTTCGAGTCCTTATTCTTATATCTCCTGCACCTTACACCTGCTCTAAAGTTTGTTTTCTTTTTCCTTTCTTTCTTTTTTTTTTTTTTTTTTTTTGGTGCTGAGAAAGAAACTCATGAAACCCAGGCTACATTTGATGGCTAAAGGTGTGGTTAAATGGTCATTTAACCTTATACAGGCTCTCCATCAGACTAGCATTCAAAACTTCCTCATCTACAAAACAATTGCACCGGTTAAAACAATATGGATTACATTTTCTCAATTTTCACCCATTTTGCATAGACAAGCTAAGAATATAACTTCTTATAATTTGTTGCTGATGAAGATGAAAGTGATCTAACATTAATTGAAGTGACAGTAACTCAAGGGTAAAGTACAAAAAACCAGACATGGACACACATACATTAGCTCGAGTGGAATCCCATGAAAATAATGTTGTGAAGAAGCAGGGTTCGTTTCCTTCAGTAACTTTGTAAAGTGGAACTTTTGGAGACAAACCATCTAGAGATGCAGCCATGTCTATGTATTTCTGCAAAGAAATTCTAAAATGAATAACAGCATATTGGAAGGATAAAATGATGAAGGAATCAATGTTTTATTTATACCTGGCCAAATTCAAAGACATTTTGCTTTTCTTTGGCGTCTACAGACTGACCAACCCAAACAAACACTTCAGAATGTGTGTCGAGTATCAAAATATCTTCTGTCAACAGATCGTCTTGAGAGAAATTGTAAATTTCCTCAACCTGCACAACAGGATCTAAACTTATATATAGAAGACACTTGGATACCTGTAGGAACAAGTTTCAATTACGTTAGAAAAACTTACCTCAAACTTTCCTGAGGCATCCATGTGGGAACAGACAAAATCATGGAAAGAAAAGTTAGAATGGTAATAAGATTCATTAACAACTGAGGGCAGGAGGAAGAAATCTTAGAGCAAAAATTTAAAAATAAAGCAAAAAATATTTATGAATTAGAAAAGACACCTCTATTAAGAGAGAAACTGAACAAGTGGGGATCCCTGACAGTCTCTACAGATGCTTTTTTGCTCGTATAGCTTTGTTTTCCCCCAAGTGCAAACCAGAAGGCATTGCTCTCTGTTCCTTCTTTAGCATGTTTAACAGCAACTCCAGGCTAAATGCAAAAGAAGATAATTAGATGATTGACTGACATAGGGGAAAGAGTTGTTTGAAAGAACTAGAAAGTGCTGCTATTGACTTTTATTAATGAGGAGAAAATCACTAGCAAATAGCAAGAAAGATACACTATGCAAGAGATAAAATACAGCCAAGTAAATGTCTATTTTTCAGTAAATTTTATCTTGTCACACCATGTAGTCAGAAGAGATTCAAAGGAAAAAAGTGCAAATACTTAAATAACTAGGTCTCAAAAAGCAGAAAATATGTATAATCAGCTAAAGAATTGTGATCCAACAAAAACTTAACTGCAACACTCAACTCAAAAGAACTATAATCATTATATAAGAATTAAATCTTACCATTTGATTGAAACAGCATATATAGGCACATATTCCTGTTATTACATTCTTTAGTTATGTTATTAATTGGTAAACTCAAATTCTTGGAACTTTGATGCTAGACTGAACTATATAAAGTCATACCAGGTTTCCCAATGAATCAATGCGCTTTAATCTTCTCATAACAAAGCCCAAAAGTAAACAACTATCTTTAGAGAGTATACCTTCAAAAATTCAGCAACTTTTGCAGCTAATTGCTGCTTTTCATAGGTGCTTTGATTTCCATGCCAAATAAAAATCGAAGATCCAGATTGCAGGAGGAAACACTCAGTTGAGTTCAATGATGTTGCCACCTAAACAAAAGTTACAAAAACAGGAGATATTGCTGTTAGGATACAAATGGAATAGGTAATCATGCTGCAAACATCATAACAACAAAGTACAGGAATACAGTCATCATCCATAATCAGGTTAGGAGCACTTAAGGAAAAACACATTAATGCGTTGGAAATTCAAAACCCACCAAACATAATTTAAAAGGCAAAAACCGACAAAATAGCAAACTAATGCATACCGCATCAACTTGCAACGCTTTATTATTGTGCTCGGAGGTTCCTGAAATCCGAAATAGAGCAACACAATCTGCAGTATAGGTTTCATCTGTCAAGCCTTTGTCTGCTATACTCATTTTGTAACCAGTACTTAGACCACCCTAGATAGAAATCAATCATACGAAAATTAGTTGATAACCTCCAAGCAATTGGTAATGAGATTCTAAAACTTTGAGGTCAAATTGAATACCTTAAGGGCCACCATAGGTTGAAAAAGTGCAATGAACTGGGGTGGCTCTTTACCTTCAAACACTCGACCCTGCAAGAAGCATCTATTAGAAACACAAGCAATGGAATCATTGTACTCAGCCACAGGTAATATGATACCTGAACAGGCCTCCCCTTAAGTGAGTTATACATTGCATCAGCCAACCGGGCAGCCATCTTTTGGTCCTCCTGAATTAAGAAATATATATACTTTTAGAAAATAATATTTTAAGTAGTGAGAATGACCATCGCCAGAATGAAATCCATTAAGTCAACATGTAACTATGTAAGAACCTCTTTCTTCTACAGTTCAATGCAAAGAACATGAAGAATGGAAGCTACAAGTGGAAAAGTAATGAAAAGTAGGGATTCGGATCCAATGCAGAAAACAAGTCGAGTGAAGTAGATATTGTCACCACTAAATGAGCTAGAAACCAACTCACCATATGAAGTATGCACAACAAATTATAAAAAATTTGCTCAAATTCTCAAAAATCAACAATGAAAATAAAAGTGGAACTTGTTGCAAAGAAATTTAACATGTATAAATTATATTTAAGAAACAAAAACTATGAGGTGCACTAGGTTTCACCAACAGAGATAAAGGTGATGGTTAAAGCGGCATCATCAATGTGACAAAAATATAGTAACTTTCAAGTTCCTTTTTCTTCTTCAATTTCATATCAGAGATTTCAGGTTTTTCTTCTTCCTTTTAATTTTTATATTCATACATGTTTGTAAATTCTCAATAGAGAATGCAAGGATTATGGGCTCTTTTCTTCAATTTATCTTCTTATTTGTTTAATTTGCCAGTAATATACTTCCCAGCCATAGCTCTATTTCAAATTCTCCAGATTCATCAAATTCTTTAGGACTCCCTAATACAGATTAATTTTTATCTGAATAGCATTGATCAATATAGATTTTATTTTACAAACCTTTGTCCTCAACTATTCAAGTCTGAAACTGAAGTGCTGCAGAATTGTTATATATATATATATATATATATATATATTTTATATATATATATATGTATGTATGTATGCCCATGTGCATTCACTATTTTCATAGCCTGATCTTAAAATTATAGAATCCAATAGGTGCAACCAAAATTCTACCCTCAATCAATGGTTCAATTGAAGGTGCTTCAAGATTGACAAGGGACAATGCCTAGATAGAGTTAGCCTGCTGAAAAGGAATGAATTGGGCAGCATGAGAATCCAAATTAGGCAGCAGTCCAAGTTTATGATGTGCATGAAATTAGGAAGGCAACTTCTAAATTGCATGTCAAGGGGAGGCACTCATATTGGAGGCATATCTATCATTCTTTTAGTAATGACAAGGAGCTTATCTTGGCATCACTCTAGTCCATATCACTTAACATCAAATCTGCTGCTTCACATTGCTAAGTGGAAGGGAGTTCTATCATGAACAAAGAGTTGAAGATGAATGACTGAAAGGGGCATATTATTTTAAATTATTTCATAACCAACTAAGAACAATGTAAATTACCTCAATGCTATCCTTTCCAATCCAACAACACAGAAAGTAATCTTCTTTCCTGTCACCTGAGTGGTAGGTATAAAGCACAATGTAGCAGTCTCCACTATAGAATTTACCAATATCCTCTTTTGGCAATGGTGTCTTGGCACTGCCATTGATGCACCATACCTGAAAAATAAGCAACACCATACTCGTGTCAACAGTTTGTGTCTTTAAGTCAAATGCCAAAAACCAACTAAAAGCAGACTATTAACATGACCTCCATCTTTCCACCGCCTTCAAGCAAAGGGGGAACTTCTTCATTTACAGGAGCACTTTTGCCTATCCCCTTGACACCAACTCCTTGTTGCTTCAGCAAAGCTAGCAGTAGAAAAATGCCATTCAACAATGTTAACTACAAAATATAATAGTTTTATTTGTAGCTTATTAAGTATCCCTACCGGCTACTTTTCCTCTTCCCTCCTCACCACCAGGAGCTGTAGACCCTGCCGGCCAAGAATCAAAGTTGGACTTGAATGAATTGGTTTCATACCCTTGGATGAGACGGGTTATGCGTGTTGTTTTTGGTCTACTCTGGCCAGCAACAAAGTCCTGGAAATAAAAGGTTGGGAATGAGAATTTATGTTCTTGTAATACATGAAGAAATCAATGCCATGCCTCTAGCTCTACCTCAGCAACTTGACTGGCGGCTTTTCTGTCCTCTACTTGTGTCACCCGTCCAACCCAAACAAAAACCTCAGCTCCACAGTCTAGTAGATAACATTTGTTGTTTTCCAAGAGGCCTTTCGATAGTTCACCTTCTACAATCTTCACCTCACCATCAGTTATGCTACAGGAACCAGTGATTCAAAATTAGCAGTTGATAAAGACATACATCATTAAAAACAATAGCAACATAAACTAATATTAACTCAAAAAGGATTTCAATCCGGAGTGTCTACTCACTTAAAATTGTCCCTAAATAGATGCTCAACCTCAAAACAAGCATCTAACCAAAGAAAGTTCAGTTGACCTATATTACCCATAAGAATGGTGACCATAAGAATATTCTTAAAGCTGTCTGGCGAATAATTTATAATAAGCTTAATATGTTAATTTATTCTCTCCAGTAAAATTGCCTATACAAAGAAAGGCTTTCTAATATCCCCTCTCAATATCTTTTTCTCCTTTTCAGTTTTGATAAAGGAAAAAGGCAATTGACATAGAGTCTCTCAATTAAATAATGCTAACCTTAATCTATAATGCTGCCTCATGGCTTCAGTACTAGTCATAAATTCTTGATAACAAATTAAAGAACTTAACTTTGGATTTCTTGCAACATAAAGATAATTGATAGGAATTCCAAAGGAACATGTGAGAAACATATGACGTTGAACAGATTGGGTAAACTAAAAAGAATGGGTTTTAGAGTATGAAATGATAGATAACAGTTTCAGAGTTGGTTGCTTTTGAACTAATAAGGTTCCATACTTCCATTGGTTCAGATTTTAGGGTTAATATTAGCCAAATTAGAACAGCTTGATTTTAAGAATTGTTATATTGAAGTAATAAATTAAAGGCAATACAGAGATATGTAGAAGCTTAAGGATTTCAAGTACATAAAAAAAGCTTTGATGAGAGCTTGCAGCAAGGAAAAAAAAGATTATGAGTGCTATTCCAGTCTTCCAGACCCATGAACAGTTTGCTAATTTTCTCTGATGATTCATTTGAGCAAGAGGTTGGAGTGACAAGCTTATTAATCTGGTTGTAATCACTAAGAAACTGAAGTACTATTACCTATGTATAAATAGGACACATAGTATCTGCATCTAACTCTAGCAAAATTTTAGATGCACCTGAATCTTCATTTCCCCACTAGTAGAAGAAAACAGAAGATACAATTACCTATAAAGTTTAGCAGGAGTTTTCTCAGGAATAACATCATCTTCACTGGCAACCTTCTTGCTTATTGGCGCAAATCCACCAAAGAGCACCCAAAACTCCCCAGAGTCGGACTCAGTGTCCAATTTCCCATCATCTGGCAGGGTGATTACATTAATGCATGTACAAGCAACGATTGCAAAAGAGCCAGCCTTAGAGTAAAATAAATATACCTTGCATGCAATTCAATTAATACTTGTACAGAAGTAGAAAAGCGGGAAAAACAGCATCATCAATACCATAAATGCATGCACCCTTACCAACAATTGCAACATTGCACGTTCCCCCATGATACTTTTCCTTTAAGAACTGAATAACTTCTAATGCCTTCGCCCTTTCCTGAATATTAGAGTTTGCACCATTGAACTGATAAATCTTATCCTGAGTGTCCAGGATAAATACATCATCATGATTCAGTGAAGACCGAGCAAAAGGAACCTGCAAGAGCATAATACAAAATGGTATTTCCCTGATCCATGATAGTCTTATATTAAATAGTTTATCATTAGTTCATAGAACATTTTTATTCTTGCGTCTTTCCGTCCACACTCATCAAACTTATGTAAATAGCATCAGATACCTGCTTCAATCTGACAACTCGCTTTCCTCTGCAGACATACAACCGTGTTTCAAACACTTCTTCTTCTGGCTTTTTAAATCCAGAAGCAACACCACCTTCCAATGGTACAATGCAAGGTTTAAAGTACGACAAAAATTTGTCAGATTCATGACCTTGAAGTTCCCTGTGCTGCACAGCACGCCCTCCTAGTACTGCATCCAACTCAACAGTTTTGATAGCAGCTGTTCCAGCCTCATCCTGCACGAGACAAAATGATCTCAAATGATGTCTTAGTTCATTTGAAAGAAACTTTAATCCTCAAACAAATTAAGAAAAGTAAAAGTAGATGCAGCAAAAACACACCTGACTAGTATCTTTACCAATCCAGAAGTGTATGTCATACAGATATGAACCACCCTTGCTAGGTGTTGTCTACAACGAACATATAAAATGGCAAATGAGATATAAAATAAAGAAGCAGTGATTCCGGCCCAGAATATGGGAGAAAATGTATGTTATGTGGGTTTGCATCAAAACAAGAGAGAGCAAGAGAGAGAGAAATAGTCTGCACCTGTAAGACAATATAAGAATCCCCCATGTAGAATTTTCCATAGTCTGACTTTGGCAGAGGAACTGGCTGAAAATTCTCAATACGCCAGATTTCAGTCCCGCTATAAGATGTTAAGTGCGACAGCCTTTACATAAAAAAATCATCAGGACATATATGCAACATAAGCACACATCTCAAAAAGAAAAAAAAGCATATGTCAATATCTTTTTTTTTTCCTGCTGGCGTTGGGAATATTGATTCAGGTCTCTCTTATCAAAAGAAAAAAAAATAAACTCTTAAATAAAATAAAAAGTTTAAAAAAAATTCAAGTCCATAAATTCACAACTTATATGCCCTTTGTTGTAAGGATACAGTTTCTGACCCACTCCTTGAAATGCAGGATCATGAACTTTTGCAGAGCTAGACATTTCTCGGAATTCTTCTTTATTACTGTTTTCTTAGGCAAAATTAGTATAGCTCCACTTGAGAATCCAACTTTGAGCAGTCTGGAAGTTGCACAAAACTTACTGGAGAAAATAGAGGTATTAGATCATGCAAGGAAAAATTAAGTTACAGTACAAAGTAAAATTAAAAAGGGAAAAAAATTTTTAATCAATGCTTATGACAAGTTAAGCTGACTAAAATTATTTCCCTATTTCAGAAATTTCAGAAACTTAGTACTGTCAAGATTGAGCATTAAGAAATTTCAGAAAAGGTCTTTATGTGTCCTAGCACGCAATCCAGCTCACTTGACATGTATTTCTTCTAATTAAAACAATTGTAAATAATATTAATATTCTTAGTAGCCCAATCCTGTCTTCTCCAGGACCTTCTTCCAAGGTCAGCATGATGGCAAACTTCCCATAAAAAACAGCCATTTATTTCAATACATCATTACTTGAACAATGAAGCCCTTCATCATTTCATAACAAGTTGAAAAACAATGTATCACAGAAGCATGCATTTTTGGTTGTGAGAATGATATTCTTAAAAGAATCCTTAAACACATGGACAAATGATAAGCATAAAAACTTTCCCCCCTCCGAACATTGATGCTTGGAAGTTGATCCACATGAGAAGGTTACTCCCTTTAAAATTAATGCACTAAGAATTTATATCTTCCTTTGACCAAAGCCATATTACATGGTGCTCCCAAAATGAGATCTGCTTGTCCACTCAAAATGGTCCATTAATTATTTAGGCTACTAAACTAATTAGATCTTCAGTTCCTAATGTTGATTATCCATCCTAAGACTAACGGTTAGCTGATACTGGTCTTAAAACGAGTGACAAAAAATAGCATAAAGTGAACTCTTCCATAAAGTTGATCTTTTATATTCAGCACCACTATATGGAGGATAAGAAGCAACTTTTCGGCTTGAATAAACATGAACAATGTGTTAAAGGCCAAAAATAAAAAATAAAAAAGAACAATGCGTTCCGTCCATGCATCTTGCATTGCAGAATTCAAAACATCAAGATGAAGTTTACATAACCTTAAAGTATAAATAATCATATTTCTATATATACTCAGATTCGCCAACTTCATATGATATGGAAATTAATAAACTGCTATTCTTCTGGCCAAAAAAATAAAATAAGATAAACTCCTATTCTTTAAACCAATCATCCATCATTTTCATACTAATATCATAAAAGACTACTTATCCCACACATGCATAAATTTCAAAGGTTTGCTTGTGGTCGTTCCACACTCTTAGGAGAATAACCTCACCAATATCGCTCAAATCTTGGCATCCTAAAGATCAATCAACAATAAGCACTCTGAGGGAAGCGATGTACTGTTTGATTTGATCACACAAATAAACAGAAGGTTGCACGGCAGCAAAGGATTTTGACCGCTAGTGTCAGTGATCAGCAATCCAAGCAGCATTTAACACGATTAGTCACAGCCCAAGGGGTCAAAAAGCGAGAGAAAACAGAATTGGACGAACCCAGCAACCATTCAAAACTTTGCACATAGCTAAAATCTTTTAATCTCTAATGCTCGGTTACAATAACAAATTAAATAATTTCCATAGCCGGTGCCATAAAACTGAATTCTAAAATTTCCGTACACTTACAAAAGGAAAAGAAAAAATTTAACAAGCAGAAAACAGACAAAAACCATTATGATCAACCATACTAAAGACAAAAAATAACAATGAGAACAATCTTAAAAATAGCCATCAGCATCAGACAAGCATATCAAAACAAGAATTAAGGAAAAAGAAACAAAACCCACGAAAAGTACGACAAAATCATGCATACCCAGATCAACAAACACCAAATCAAACACAAAAAAAGATGAAAGACAGTTATAACCCAAAAAAAAAAATCAAAACAATGGCCTTTCCCTTGATCACAGCAGAGAGAGAAAAACAGAAAGACAGTATGATCAAAGAAGAAGAAGAAAAGGGTTACCTTGAGAGAAAGATCTCTCTCTTTGAGTTTGAAGAAGGGAAGGGAAAGAGCCAAGAAAAGCTGGCAAATTAAAAGATATGAAGGAAATGGGAAAGATACTGAGAAAGAAAAAGTGAATTATTGCATTGGTATTTTCTAATTGAGGAACAGAGAAATATGAAGGAAATTATGATGGTGAAGGGAGAGAAGAAGCGATTGAGAAGAAGAGAGAAAGTTTTTCTTTCTTTTTTGGTTTACTGTTTGGAAGGAAAGGAAAAGAGCGGAAAAGATTTTTGAGAGCATGGGACAGACAAAGTCGTTGTAAGGCAAAAACGATCCGGTGACGATGGCACCGGCCTCGTTGGCCTTTTCTTCTTTGATTAGATGGATTTTTACTAATCACCACTACCTTTTGTTTTCTTTTTCCTTTTTTTTTTTCTCCCCATTAATTTTAGTACTCTTTTTCTAGTTTTTCCATTTATTAGTTTTTCAGCTTTATAAATTAAGATGTTTATTAGATAAAAGATCTTACGGATAGTTGTTAACATGAAAATTACATAAAATCATTAATATTCAAACAAATAAAATCTCAATACTATAATATTATTTTTTTATAAAAAAACATTGCATTTTATAAATAAAGAATAATTATAGATATTAAAATTAAAATCTCAAATTTATTTATTATCGCTTCTTAAAATAATTATATAAATAAATTTAATTTAATTTTAAATTCAATATAATTACTATTTGTTAAATAAATAAAAAATAAAATTCTGCGCAACTTACTGTGATTTTAATTCTCTCTCGTTGGATTCAGTGATCTCAATAATCTCCTTGCTCTTTGCCTTCTGATAGAAGTTAGTAAAATGAAGGAGAAAAAAAATTTTGGCAAAAAAGAAAATTAAAAAAATGCTAGTAAAATAAACATGTGAAAATATTTAGAGATGGAGAATAAAAAAAAATGAATTTCTATTACCAATAGAAATATTGGGAGAGAGGCAAGGGGTGCCGCCCATTTGGTAAGCTGAAAAAAGTAGTGATGACCCAAAAGAAAAAGTCGGTTGCAGGCCTTTACATGGTCATCCATGCCTTTCGGATTTGAACAAATCCAGCCTGACATTGCACAGCAAAAAATCATTCTTATTTGGTATTTGCTTTAAAATTTTTCTAAAAAAATGGTTCTTTTAATCAACCAAAATTATTATTAACTTTATTTTATCCATCCTAGTAAATATTAGTAAGATTTCAATATACAACACTTATAAACCAGTAACATTACATTCACAATCCTTTTATTTCTTATATGCTGCTACCAATTTGAGAAGTTGCCAACCCTGTAAAAGTTAGCATATCCCAGTTAGGAAGAAAAGAAATGCTTGGCATATGTTGACTTCTTTCAGTGTTGAACCAGTACTCGAAATTATCGATTTCATTAGTTATTGACCATCATGAGAAACACTCCCAAAATTAGATGGCATTTAAGAGGATGTCTTGCATGCATGCTACAAATTAAGGACCTTTAAAAAGCACTTCAGCATAAGCATGGATGTAAGATGCTGCAAAACATTGATGCCAATACCAGATGGCTGCGTATAGGACATCAGTAAGCACACAGGCATCAGCGCAGGGGAAGAACTGGTGCAAAGGCCAAGCACAGTGGCACAGGCAGAACCAAGAAAGTAGTAATGGAACTATCCAACTTGGACCTTTTCACAACCTTTCAGCAGCAATAATTTATATAGGAAAGAAAACACTTGGCAACCTATGTGAAAAACAGATCAATTTCTTTTCTTCACTCTTTCCCCCGCATGTTCACTAATATCCAGTATTTTTTCTAGCAAAATACTGGTTTCTGATATAAAACTGTAAGGCAACAAAAATTAACCGCAGGAAAGGACCTAATGCATATGAACTTTGCTTGACAGATGGATGCTAAGAATTATGGGCAATTATCTATTTTGGGGGATAATACTGCAGGCCATTATCCAATTGATGTATGCATTATTAGTTTAACTTGAAAATGTAACAAACCAAGCCCACACACACATAAATGAAAATTTAAAGAAAGAAACAGAAGGAACAAAGAAGAAGAAATTTAAATATCAAACAGCTCCTTATATACCAAACCCAGCAAATAACGAGGAATCTTGCCAATCCTTCGTTCTAACAACTCAATTTCAGCTCTCAACTCATGCACCTGCTAGAAAACGGCCAGCTGCAACTCTCCTTACTTCCCTATCAATTCAAACCCCTCATTATTTCAAATCCTCAGTTACCCCATAAACCATGTCTTGATACATCAAAATCCTCTCTTATGCCCAACAACGCGCAGCATGATCCTTGCATCCCCATCCAGATTCCCTGGCTCATGCCTAGAATGCACCTCATAGACCTGATTGTTGGGCATAAGGAAAAAAAAGAAAGAGCAAGGATATGATTCGAAGAAAGAGCTGCAGTGGGAAGGAGAGATTTCCACTGGACCTAAAATGTCCAGTTGCTAAATGGGGGTATGGTGCAGTGACATTACTTCAACCGAGCAGCCCATGACATCCCAATGGGTGTCCGGTGGCTTTTTGGGTGTCAATCACAGTTCACCGTGGGTGTGATTGTATCCAAACAAAGCCTAAATCTATAAGCAGGTTGTTAGAACAAGACCTTTTGTAGGATTGTCCTTTGACTATATAGTATCTGATAAGCAGTATCCATTACAGTAAGTTATGCACATGTTTTAAGTTGACTTTTCAGCAACTTGACAACATGATCTACCAGTTACCACTATCTCAATCCTCAAAATTTTAGAACTTTAACAAATGCTTCAGACAGAGATGACATCAAGAAACTTACAGTACTTAAACAAATCCTCAAAATTTGTGTGTAAAACACTATATGAATACATGAATTTTCAGTGTTTTACACTACACGAATGACCATATCTAATTCAAATGAATAATCAACTGCCTCATATAAGACAGATTTATCACCGTTCAAGTCTCTTCATTCAAGATCATCCAAAATGAACCAACCACTCAAAGCAAGCTACATTAGATTACCCAAGCAATATCCTAATGAAATTGATGATCTTTTGATTGAATTGATATTATTTTATCCCCAAAAGCAAAAATTAAACAACAAAATTATATTTTGAATTGAAATTTAAAATGAACAAATATATATAATAACCAAATTCAACCGCAAAAAGTGAAATTATGTATTTTTACCTTTCACTTCTGGAATTGGAAAGTAAGTAGCATGCTCAAAAACCAAACAATCAATTAGAATTAGAACTTAAAATAGAAGAACAAATCCACTAACGAAGCTCATTGTTATCCTCTTCTTTGTGCTTGTTCTTCTTCAACATCTTGGGCCTAGGCTTAAGAGGTTTCAAAAATCCAGCTTGCAATCTCACCATCTCCCTCAAGACCCCAATCAAAACCCCTTGAACCTCATCTCCATTAGGCTCAATGACCCCCAAGCACCTGGCCACAGCTTCCAGAGTACTAACACACCCACCAAAGGGCTCCTTCCTTAAAACCAATTCATTATCATAAATACTCCCACCTATCGCACTCTCATCAACTCCATCCAAACAAACCCTTAGAGCAAAACCCTTCAAAACCCCTTCACTGGCCCTCACCATCTCCTTGGCATGCTTCCAAGTGGCATCAAAAACAATTAAGAGGAGGGTAGTAGTTTGGTAATTGAGGAGGTTGGTGGATTTGAGGTGGGATAGACTGACGGCGGGTGTGGAAGGGGAAGGAGGAAGAGGTAGATGGCAGGTGGGGATTGGTCAGGGAGGTGGTGACGGAGGAGGCGGCGGGAAGAGATGGCGGTGGCGTGGAGGAGGGTTTTGGAGAGGAGTGGGGTTGTGTTGAGCTTGTGTCGGGACTCGTGAGGGTGGCGGATGATCAAGATTTTGGTTTTGGTTGGGAGTGGGGTTGGGGGGAGGGTATGGCAGAGGCAGACTGGAAGTGGCCGGTCACAACGGGTGCATAGTTGACGGCGTTGCAGTGGCGGCGGAGACGTTGGTGGTGATTTTGTTGCGGTGGTGGGGTGTTCTGATTCTTCCATGAGCGGGCTGTGGAATTAGGCTAAAGGTAATTTTCTTAAAAAATAAATGTTGTGTTTTATTCGTCGACAGAAATCATATCTTGTCACTAAATCATTTTGAATAAGTGACACAATTAACAACGAATTATAAGTGCAAAAATTACGAAATTTATCCATTTGTACTCAGAGAAGAATTACTGGCATTAAAATGTTGGAATCGATCCTTTGACCTTAAAACGCACAACATCCAGCATACTGTTGAAAACGTCATTCTCTGATCAGACAGTGTAAATGTGGTCATTCCAAGCTATCTAGAGGATATAAACATGAAGAATCCATGACGTGCTTTAAAGAAGTTTTGCTTCGCCAATTTTCAACAGATTTGTCCATCTCATTGCATTGTAGAATTTCTTGGTTCCCACAAGCTTGGTGGTGTGAGTTTATTAGCCTAACTCCAGACTTATTAGAAATTAATATTTTTATTTTATATGCATAAAAAATATTAGTGCAGACCTAAACCTCTTTTAAAAGTTCAATTTTATTGTAACATATTCCGTTGCCGGAATTTAAACCCGGGTCTTTCGGGTGATAACCGAATATCCAAACCAACTAGACTACAACATAATCCTGACTTTGTTATCTTTTGACTTGTAAGTTACTATAAATCCCATATTCCAATAATTTGTTTTTTAATATTTTGATAGTTGGAGGGGAGACTAGGAAACAGAAAGGGAGATGACGACTTTGGAATTGCAGCAGCCGCCGACCAGCTTGGACGCTTCTGACTTCAATCACACTCCCTTTTACTGGTTCCTTTTTTTTTTTTTTGTTTAACTTTATTTTTGGCTTCCATTACTAAACTCTTTCAATATTTTGTAACTTATTCCTGAAAATTCAACTGGGTGTGTTTTATTAGTGAGGAGAACGTGTATTTTCTTTGCAAGAAACTTTGTTCTAACGGGATAGCAGATGCTCAAGGATCTGATCTTTTCGTCGTTGTCATTTCCAATGACAATAAACAGGCATGCATTTTTTACCGTTTCCTTTCTGGGTTTTACCTTTTCTTAGCTTTTGTCGCTTGCTTGGAACTGATTATCCATTTCAGATGTTGGGTTTTCCTTTTCTTTTAGGAAAGCTCCAAAATTTTACATCATAGCATGTTAAATGGGAAACCCATCTTATATACTTTGCAAAATGTATGGCTATTGAACTACCTGTAAAGTGTATTCTTGTTTCTGAATTGGGTTTCTCTTTTTCTTTTAGAAAGGTCGAAACTTTACATAAAAGCATGTTAAAAGTTCCGAGCTATTTTCCTCTGAAGAAAGAATGGGAAACCCATCTTTTGTACTTTAGAAAATGTATGATTCTTGAACTCCCTGTGTAGTGTATTAATGTAAACAATGCATTTTTTGATTGAATTTTGCCAAAGAATAATGATTCCCTTCCTTTGTGGATTGGGGACATTCCTTGGAGATGTAACTTGTATTAGACTCGTTTCAAAGAGGAAATTTCTGGTTTATAGTTTTGTGAACATTGTTGTGATGTTTCGGATGAAAACATTTTAGATTCCACTGTGGCATCAAAAGTCTAGCAATAGAGCAGATGGTGTAATCCTCTGGGATTACCATGTTATTTGCATTCAGGTAAGATCTGAATCTTCGGTAATTTGATTTAATTGCGTAAATTAGTTTTCTTTGACACAAGCATTGGGATCATTTGATGAGTTCGCGAATTGTAATTCATGGTTGATTGGTTTTACATTTGTCTCCTTTTAGAGGAAAAAAGATGGTGACTCTCATTTAGTATGGGACTTGGATTCAAGTCTTCCATTTCCTTGTCCTTTAGCGACATATGTGTCCGAAACTGTCCGACCATCTTTTCAGCTCTTTTCAGAGTTTCAAAGGTAACATTTCATTTCATGCTGCTAATGTTTATGTAAAATACCTGTTGTTGTTGAGTTCCTGGATTTGACTTAAACGTATTTGCTAATGATTATATAGGAGTTCACATAAAGTTTTCTGTTATTGTCTTCCTTTACCTTCTCACCAAGAAATAATCTGATGATGAAACTGTGAAATCCATATCTTTTCTTGTAAAACCTCCCATGATTAATTGTTATGCACCGAAATATATATGTTCTTAAGGATATTTGGTGTTATATGAGGTGGTAAGAAAAATTTTGAAGCAACTTATCACTTAGTATATATGAAGTTTTAGGAATTTTTTGGAGCTCTAAAGTATCGTTTATTTATAGTATGCATTTTCCATAGACATATGACATCTACTAAAGGAGGCTGTCAGTCATCCCCACCAAGGTTTAGATCAAAATTCAAATAAAATTCTAATTTTAATAATCTCAATATCTCTGAGTTTGCTCTTATGCCTCTAGTTGCTCTGATTTATATTTATTTGATAATATCTTTTTTCATTATATTGTTGTCTTTACAATTGTCTTGTAATATAATGTGTTTCCTGTTATTAGATATTCTCTAATTGTATAAGAAATGTGCAAGCCATTGGTGGCAGCTCATAGTCCTGTTCAAACTCAACCTGAAATCAAAAGATTACCATTTGTAAAGTGTCTTGCACTGAACTCTAGAAGCATTCTGGTGAAGCTTTAAAGTCTTCATTTATTGTGTAACTGCCCAATGTTGGAGCCTTTACAACATTATTAGAAAGACACTTCATTTTTACCCTTTTCCAATTTGTCATTCTCAACAAGCCCATGGAAAATGATCCTCATGTGTTGATTAATGTAGTATGTTTACAATCTAATCATGAATTCATGTAGTTCTTGAGAAACATCCTTTTTATGTTACCCTCTTTTTTTTTTTTACCCTATTATCAGGTTTTTCCGGGTCGTGCATGTTCCATTATTCCTTCATCACTTTGCATCCGATAGAAGACACATGAAAGATTCTGAAGGGAACTGGACTGCTCAACCTCCTACATATGAACCCATAGTTGCTGAAGGTACAGTTTTGGCAACTATATACCAAATGTATGCTGATCAGTTATTCATCTGTTTCACTCCTTTTGGGTTAATACTGTATAATTATCTAAAGTTCCTTAGATCTTATGCATAATGTCTATCAGTTTTTGGGGCATGTATAAATTAATTTGTCTCAAAAAGTAATCTGTTTTGTCACCCAGCTGAATCCCAAATAGTTTGGCTGCTAGTTGGGCCTTGTGTCTGCAGTACTTTTCTTTTTCTTTTGCTCTTAGTCTCCTCCTATTTGTTTGTCTGCATTTTTGCTCTTCTAGGTCTGTTATTTATGAATTCCTTCATTTTGTTCACAAATAATATTAAACTGCTAGTTGGGCACAATGGAAAGACTTGTTTTAAAATGTAACTTCTTTAGTGAACCAGAAGAAATCCCTAGGTACTGGAAAGTGAGTTAAATACGTAAACTGAGAATGCCTCTGCAAATTTTAGAGGTTTTGAAGACTTCAGATCTAGAACTTCTGTAAGTGTGAGTGCATTACGAGCTGCCAGACTTCTGCTAGAGGAGTTTTCTGTTGGATCATGCCAAAATCAAATCACTTCTCACCTTTTATGGACTAGCTGAGACAGATTATTCCACAAATCTCTGTAATTTATTTACTGAAGCATATCTTGTTGACTCAAATATTCTTTTCAGTCCTTTCTTTCTCCTGCATAGTTACTATTGCTGATGTTAGACTCTCCACTGCTGATTAAGTTTTTAATGTAGGATTAAACCCCTCTTTATGGTATTCAACGAATATTATTAATGCAGGCAATTTGTATAAGGCTTTTACTTCAGCTTTTATTTAAACTCTTCTTCTCAATGTGCTTATATAGATGGATCTGTGCACAACTTAAATGAGTACCTGGAGATCCATGCTGCAGATGCGGTAACAAATCTTCCAGCTGATTTGACCAATGTTGTTTTCAGTCAGAAGCATGGAGTGGTTATCGGTGAAGCACATCTTGAGGAATTCTTTTCTCAAATTTCTTAATGCGGTCATTTGTAGCTAGAACCCTAGAACTTGCATGGTTGATGCATGGTCTTCAATACGTAAACAGCCACTATACAAATGTGTTCTCGATGCTGTATATGTTGTTTGCCACAAGAGTGCAAAAGTGAAGGCAAACAAACTTAATAGAATATTGTCCGCATGACATACAAGATAGAATATTCTTGCTTTTCCTTTTTCTTTTTCCTTTTGAATGAAATAATTTATCGTCTTTGATAAGTGCAGTATTAAATCTTTGTTTGCTGTTCTTAATAGTTGTTCTTCCTCGAGCTCTTTGCCGGCTAATCTTCCCTATTCTATCTATCCTTTCCCTATGGTAATGGAGACTTACTATCTCCAGCTTTACTATTTTTTTGTCACTCCAATGGTTTCAAGAAGGCCAGGGAGAACCGAGTATCCTGTGCTTTAAGGCTTCCCACAGCTTAAGGGGTATTCCACCGTTAGGGGGAAGCCCCGTGGTTCACTTGTGATGGTTCTTGATGGGTGATGGGGAATAATGAATTTAACATTCCATTCTTACAACAATTTTGTTACTTTAAAGAGGGGTACGATAATATACAAATAAAGCATAGACTGTGATATGTAACACAGCTGATACTGATCAGATGACTAGAACGAGTCTTACATTGTTAAGAGATTTCTCAATCAAATAATTTATATCGACCTGGTGTACAATACATGAGATGTTCATTTTTTTTCCAATCAATACTTCTTATTGCATCAAACATTTATGCAGGCCTAGTAGTCCTTGTATCGCATAAATATTGCATGAATTAAATATGTAAGCCAAATCCCTAATGGCAGCAACTAGCAAGTAATCTTCATTGGTGGTTTTTGCCAGCAAAAGCTAAATACCCTTGGGACCGCCTAGCCATGCAAATTGCAGCAGTAACCCAAACACCAGCAATGAAGAACTGCTAAAAAAAGATGGTTACAACCCTGTGAATGGGCAGGCTTGATTTAATTTTCATCCTCCCCGTCTGAAAGCAAAAAATCTTGTATTTGCTCCCTATAAACAGGAATAAAGAAAACGAGAGTTAAAACATTTAACGAGTTAATAGGATACTTGCTACATTATAAGACCACAATTTATGCATATAAATGATTTGTACATGCAATTAGAACAGAAAATCATGATTTTGAGCAACTATTACAGAAAAATTTTTGCAATAGAAGATACAAGTAACATTTCCATAATGGACAATATCTGCTTACGCATTGGACAGATATAATAATGAATCATAATCTTATATTTGTATGAAAAGAATGTATTTATGAAAATTTAATTTCTCACCTCAGCAAACTGAAATCCCCTTGATCACCATGGTTTGCTTTGGTGATCAGTGGCTGAGGTAGGAGGGAAACAAACTGCTCCAACAACGAGGGCTCCTTAGGAAGAATCTGAAACTGGCAACTTGAACAACAAGCAGCAGCCAAAATATCTGAATTTTGGTGACTTCCAAGACTGCTCAAACTCGATGATAAATTTGATTTATCAAGTGGACTATTGCAAATAGGACAAAATGACTCCGACGAGAGAGATCCATTTGGCTTGAGACTATGTCTCTTTTGTCGTCTACGCGTTGCCAAAGGAACATTAGAGTCATGGATTTCTGGAATCCTGTTGAAGTGGAATGGAGTGAGCTTCCCAGCTGTTCGTACAATGGTGCACTCTCGAGAAGGATTTTCTTCCTGAAAAACAGCATTTCAATTAGGGACTTGCTGATCTATTTCTCTTAAAAGGAACTTCAAGAAAGAACAACTGGTATCTGGCCACACGTTTAATGTCTAACAACTACCAATGGAATTTTCTTTTCCATGTAAATAAGCTCCTGATAGCATATAACTTAAACAGTTTTAAAAAAATTATCTCCTTTGGGGTTTGAAGGCAAAGATGAAATTGATCTGCTCAATGAGGCACAGCACTCTGCCTTTCCACAAGCCCTCCCAACAACTACAGAAAGACTCCTTATGCAAAGGATATGCCCCCAAAAGACAATATAACTAGTAATAAAGAATAAGAGAATTGAAAACTCCAACAAATTCTACCTGCAGCACTTTAACAAATGATGATACCAAGCCATTGATGCCAGAGCGTGGACCATTAAGCAACTCCAATATCTTGAGACTGCCCTGCCAAGATGAGTTTAGGCTAGTCATTCAGTTATAAATTAGATGATTAGTCAAGTATATCACAAATATATTTCCAAGAGATTATATAATTGTCACATAATGGAGAAAAAGGAGATAAATATGATTAAAACAGAATATTTAACTAGTACATAAAATCTTTTTAATGCACAAAAGAAATTCAGAAGTGGTAGTACAAGATAGGGTTACAAACCCATCAAGGCCGCAAAGGGTGTTGAGTTCTTGTGCAGAACAATCACGAAGTGGAAGCACAACAGGGATCTCCCATCTTGAATCAACGTACTGAATGTCTGCTGATAAAGAATAGCCCTGACCCTGAAAAGACCAAAGTGATCAAATTAGATAGGCAGTGAATCATAATGAGAACTTAAAGAGCAAGAAATTGTGAACAATATCAAGGTCAGCAGTGCGGAAGGGGCAGGATGGGACTAGTGCTCCCTGGCATGCTTATTTCAAGCCATGGAGAACTACTTAAGATATATTATTGTTACTAACCATAAAATATAAAATTAATTTATTAAGAAGAGAAAAATGGCCCTTGGTACCTCTTCAAATTATATTTTTGTTTTCAGTACCTAGCACAAAGGCCTCTAAACCACGCATACTTCTTGGTTTAACCTCATAAAACTAGTAATGATAACTAATAAATAAGGGGGAAAACAAAAAGCTTCAAATTCCTAGAATATGTTCAAAGATCAACAATTACACTTATTGCGTTAGACTTTGCACCAATTCAAAGCAACTCCTCTGGTCTGCCTGGCAATTTGCCACTTCATATTGTATATCATAACAAGTTAACCATTTAAGATATTGATCTTGGGCCAACCTTAAAACTCCTTCAGAAAACCCCTTCACAACTAGAGCTAAAGACCAACAGCTAAGAATTACTCTATTGATAAATAAATTAGATGTGTTCACCATAAAAATAGAAGTAGCTTTGCCAATCAAAGGCCAAACGAAGACACACCTTCACTGTGGCAGAAATAACATGGCAAGCGATCCTTGATGTGCAGGATCCTAGCACAACTCTAGTGTACCCATTTTCAGAAGCAACCTAGAACAGAAACATTAATCAATTCTCCATATCTTTTTCCACATATTCACAGTTCAATCATAAAATTTATTAATTTACAGCCAAACCTTTTGCAATAATAACAGCTGTAAATGAATGAGAAGATCTTCTTTCCCCGTGTCATCACTAACAGCATCTAATAACTTCTTCAATCTTTCCTTACCATCAAAACCATCTGAAGAGAAAATATTCTCAATGGGAACAACATATAACTCTTTCGACGGTGGAGCTAGATTGGACACAATTGATCTTATATCCTCAATCGCCTTCTCAATTTCTTGAGAACTAAATGAATGAATGGAACTTTCATCAACAAAAGCAACACCAACACCAAAAACAGGCAATGACTTATCTTTACTAGCATCATAATTCCTTTGTGCTCTATATTGCATCTCGTGAACAAACTGCAAAACTACCCTGAAATCACAACAAATATAAATAAACATTCTCAGCAAAAAACTCCAAATTCTTAACACTATAAAACAAAAGAGAGAGAAACCTGGAGGAAGGGCCACCAGAGAAAGCGACGAGAACTTTATCAGAAGGAGTAATCATGGCGTTATAAGTAACAGCCTGCTTGAACTTCCCATAGATATTGGTCTTAAAGCAATCTCTACAAAATTTGGCATCATCCCTATCGATGCCGCAGCAAATGGGTTCGTTGGACTTGCACTTTACACACAGGTTTTGGTGACTGTTGCGTCCATTTACCGCTGCTCTAGTCGTTGGTTTGCGCTCTTCTTCGTTGTACCCTTTGTAGCAACCGGACGAATTGCACGTCGACGAACTGCACGCCATCGCTCACTTTTTTGTTCTGTCCTGTTTTCCTCAGTTCCCTGTATCTTTGTCTTTGGTAGGGTTTAAGGACTTGCTTTAGGCTTCGGCTGACTCTAATTACCGAATTACCCTTACTTCATTTTAAGAAAAAGAAAATTCTTACACTAAGCCCTCGCTGTTTTGCCACTTTCGCTCCCTAACGAACTATCGCCTCTCTGGTGGAACGTGTCGCCGGCCACCGCTTTGTTAAGGTACCGGAAACTACCCCTTTTTCTTTTATTTTCGTATGTGATAATTTATATTACTTTTTGGGGATATATTCTCTTGTTTGTTTCAAGTTTGCGAGTGTTTATTAATCGTTTCTTCAAGAATCGATCCGACTAGAACAGAACCAAAATGACACCCAACTCTTTAATCCCTTCCACCGTTTTACACACCCTTTTGCTCAAATTTCTTTGGCTTTTAACTGTGTATTTCATCTTTTGCTTCATTGTATCTACTTTATTCGTTGTTTTCATTCTCGTTTGCCTGAACTTGTATTTCAAATGTTGAGTCTGAGCATTACGTTTTGCCGATTGTGCTGATTTGATGGCAAATTAAAATTTTTTATGTAAAGAATTGCAGAGAGCTTTTTCTTTTTACTTGTAGTTTTGTACAACTAAAGCACATTTTGTATAGAAAATTATGGGAAACAACATTAGAAAATGGAGAATGAAAAATAATTTCTGAAACCGAATAAGTCCCAACTCCCAAATGTTCATTTTTTTAATTTTTTGATCAAAAGCATATAGTTTGCCGGTCCCAGAGTATATGATATAAGGCTTAGTTTGTTATTGTTGTTGTGTCAAAAGCATATAGATTGACTGATTGAGAATGGGGTTACCAAATGCGATTGGGGACTTGTCCACTGAAGTGGAAGTAGAAGCATTCAGACGCCTCTTTCCTCTTCGTTTCTATGAGAAACATCTTTCAGAATCTATACGCCCTGATGCTCGGCCACTTGGAAGAGCAAGAGATACCACCATTGCCCTTGGTTAGTAAAGGAAAACAGAAACCATCATGAAACTTTTCTGTGGCATATTTATTGTTAATACTTGAATCTGATCCCTTTTAATCTATAGGGGCTGTTGCATCTGCTAATGGTTCAGCACTTGCAAAAATTGGTTCAACTGTAAGTTCCTAAGGTTCTTGCAATACATAGAACTTTACATTGGCTAGCAATCAAGGCCTGGAGTTTAATTAGTTGTTCCTTGTGTTGCATAGACAATGTTGGCTGCTATCAAAATGGAGGTCATGACCCCTTCAATGGAAACACCAGATGAGGGTTGTATAGGTTAGCTGCCATAAGCTGCATGCTTTCCTGTCTCTTTTTCTCTTTCTTAAAACATATCTCTTCTCTTTCACATTTTATTGTAATATTTCTTTTTCTCAATTTCAGCTATTGATTTCCACATGCCTCCAATTTGTTCTCCAATTGTTAGGCCTGGCAGACCAGCTGAGGCAGCACCGGTTGTGTCAAAGCAGTTATCTGACACTATTCTAAGGCATGCCAATTTATTTCTTTAATTGTTTATTGCTGCTGAGAAGCACCCTTCTTAAGTCTATTTAATTTAGATGTAGTTGTGATTTTTGTTTGTGCTCTAAATTATCTCAAATGCAGAGGCTCTAATTTATTAATTTCTATTTTTGTAGATTCAATTCTTATCTTTATCTTCACATCTATATTATGCCTTGAATAATTAAAGTTTGAATTCTCCATTTTGCTGCTTTCTACTTGTTGAAGCACACTGCTCAGTTATTTATCTTAATTTCTTGGTGGTTTCATTTCTTTTGATCCTCCATACTCTATGTTCTCTTTCAAAACTGCTCCACTTTGATTCATTGTTTGATATTTATGTTTTCAAACAACTCCTCACATGTGTAAATTACAGCTCTGGCATGATTAATCTTAAGGAACTGTCCTTGGTTAGTGGAAAAGCTGCATGGATGGCATATTTGGTAGGTGGTTGTGGTTTAAAATGTCTTAATTATCCATCTTAGAACTTTAAAATTTTTTAAGTGTTCAGACACTGACCATCTAATGTTTAAGTAGGTAATTAGAAAATTCAGGTAGTATCATAAGGCCTTGTTCTCCTTGAACAAGAAAATAACATAGTATTCTGCTTATGCAGGACATATACTGTTTGGATGCTGATGGTGCTCTTTTTGACACTGCATTACTCTCAGCTGTTGCTGCCTTTTCTCATTGTAAGTTTTTCACTCTTTTCGTCAAATATTACAATAGCAACTAACTAATGGCACTTAATATAACGATAATTGCCTAAAACAACCAACCCTTTCCATGAAAAAAGTAAATAGAAAGGAAAAGAATTTATGAAAATAAATGAAGCATATCAACTTTTACTTATCAAGAGTGGTTGTGGGCTTACAGAGGACTCTTGGAACAGAAGGCTCCTTTTTGCTTGTTCTTTTGAAGAATTTTGATAAGCCACTAAAAGCTCTATCCTTTTGATGAATTAGCATAAAATTTCGAAATCGTGCTTGATTTTATTCAAGGAACGACATTTGGTTTATTGTGCCTTATTTTTAGAGTATATTTGAGGATCTTTGTTTTTTTGCACAAACTACTTTCTATAGTTTTGACATAGGAAAGGCTGTTTACGATTTATAGATTAAATCATCAAATGAATTGGAAATGAGTTTCATTTACTAGAGGGAAATTATGAAGGTGGTTCCCCTAGGTAATATTTTACAGACACGTCAATTGGGCCATATTCTATCACAAGGCTTGTCAACTAAGAAACCCTTTCCTCCGACTGTTTGCATTTTATTGACAATGTTTTACTTAATGATTAATTCATTTATTAAATTCTTTTCTATTTTTTCCCTATGCATTTCTATATAGACAAACAGGGAGGTTTGAAAAATGTTTCTATTGACTTTGTTTCACACTATGATCTTTACATTTCTAGGCCATTTTAAATCAAAACTTGGTTGATCCATATGCATCTGCAGAATCTGCGAAAAAAGAACATGACTCTGACAATTTATATCCCACACCAATAGGCGCATCAGTAAGGTGACGGTGTGAACCCTGCTGCAAAACCTAAAACACTTCATGATTTAATTATGAAGCAAGGTCAACTATCTACTAGGACTGCAATTCTTAATCCATTTACCTAAATTACCATGGTTGAATCAGAAGTTTTAAAATTTCACACTTATATAATTCTTGCCCATCTTGCTATCCCATGCGAAGCCTCTCTGCATTATCAGGTCTTGATATTCCCTTTGAAGCTACACACTGTTGGCAAATAGAGTTGTTCTGGAGTGTCTGATACTTTGGTGTTTTCTTCCCTAATATTTATAATTACTTATTCCTTTATAGCAATGCATATTCTGTTTGTGTATTAGACTGTGATATACTCTGCATTCATCTCTGGCCCTTATAAAACTTACATTCTGTAACCATATCCTAATTGCTTTATTTTTATGAAAACCTTGTTACAGTGGACATCCCAGAAGTATCTCTCAATGATGATGGAAAAATAGTTCTTCTTTCTGAGGAACAAGAAGGAATGTCGGACAGGGAGTCAGTCAACAAGGAGAAGAGAAAAGTTACTCTGAGCAGCGTTCCATTTTCATTGACATGTATACTTCACAAGAATTACATTCTGGCGGATCCTACTGCTGAGGAAGAATCTATTATGGAAACTCTTGTAACTGTAGTTTTAGATTCATCTAGTCAACTTGTGTCGCTTTATAAACCTGGTGGACCAGTTCTTGCATATACATCAGCTATCCAGGTCAGTTCAATTTTAAGTCTTGATGGCACTAAAATGTTAAATTAAATGGAAAGTATTTGGTGATACTTTAGCAGCATAATGCATTTAAGTTTGTGGTCTTAACTTGGGATAACTGTAACTTTAGAAGCCACCTTGGACTCCAACATTTGACCTGAAGGCAATTTCCTTATATGAAGGAAAATAGTGTATAGAGAATGTAGGTTGTCATGTTCACGGTTGAAACAATGCTTTAGATTTCTGATAGTATTTCAAGCCCCGGGTAGCAATTTGCAAAACATTAAAAAAATTTTTTTTTTTTTGGTGTTCTGAAGCATTTTCTATATGATATTTCTATTAAAATTCTAAGGAATTAATGGTCCAACAGCTGATGTGGAAATCGCCTTATGGTTGCAGGATTGCATTGCATTAACACGGCAAAGAGCAAAAGAACTTCAAAAGATTCTCGATGAAGCCATTTCTGGTATGGAGGTTGACTAATCTTGCTGCTACTCATTTGAGGGGTTTGTTGGTCAATTTGTGCAGTTAATGGTAGTAATTCTCTTTTTATATTATTATTGTTCAGTCTATTGTGTTTGTTCAGTGACATTACTAGTGTGTAATGAATCAATTATGAGACGTGAGTGGAAAATTCTGTTTATCACCTTCTCATATCAGTTGATTGATATTCTTTCCGAGATGGCTTTAACATAGCAGTTATAATTGGTAACACTGTGGACCCTATGTGGTTCTGGTCTTACAAGCCTGGTTGGTAAGAATGGACTCTATGTGGCTTAATGCAGACCAAGTTTGCAGTTTCAGAGAGCCGTTCCTGACTAAGATTCCAGTGGAGCCAATTTCATTGGTCTTAGATTTCACTGGATTCTCTCTATCTAGAGCTGAGACTTGTGTCCGAGCGGTGTTTCAATGTTGGGTAGGTGATGAGTTTGCTCTGGTGGTTGCTGCAATGGCTGCCGTCTTACTTTGAGGCCTCAAAATTGAGTTAGATCACTTTGAGTCCATATCAATTTGGGTAAAGGAATTTTGGGTTATTTCGAATTTGGATATGTTAAATTTGAGTTATTTTGAATTCAGATCATTTTTAGTTCTAAGTTTTCTGAGTTTGAAACTTGAATTTTTTGGATGTAGATCTTTGGATTCAAATATTTTTGAGTCTAAATTGTTAAGTCTACATTTAATTTCAATCAATCAATCATAATGCTAAATAAAATGAAAATTACATTAAAAATTCCAATTGCAGTAAAATTTCTATTGCAAAACTTTTGTTGATTTTTTTATTCAAAAAAGAAGATTTAAATTTTGTTCTTTAAACTGTAAATCATGTATGACATCAATTGAATTAAATGTTCTGATGGGGCAATAAATTTGTTCTTAATCACAAAAGTAAATGCATTCACAATAATGTTAAATTGGAACTAAATCCTTCCTTTAACGGTTTCACCTGGATTAGCTATAAATATATGCTGATTGTCCATTGCAAGACAACAAGTTGCTACATTTTTGGCATCAAAATGGCTTTCGTTATTAGTTTAGCTTAATCAAGGCATGGATAGGATGGGGACGAAAATTATTCCAACTGAGGGTTAACTTATTCAAAGCATAAACTCTTTTAATATCCTGACCTGAAAGAACTGCAGAAAAGGACAATAAGTAGGTATATGTCACTTGGCAAAAAGCTATGATACATGGTCCCATTAGCGTTACAGAAAAAAAAATGAAAATATCACTTTCTTTTCACTGAGAAACACAAACTCAGCTCAGAAAATCTTTTACAAGCCACAGGAAGACATTCTCTCATTATAGGGAGAGGAAAAATCTTACCAATATCTCTTCCTCTTCTCATTATCCTCTAGCTTCCCTCATAGCACTTTGGGAAATCCTACATGGCCAATCAGAATTCAGAAAACTCCATCGCCAATAGATAGATAGATTAACACCCCCCAATCTTCTCCCTTGCTTTCTTTGTTTTTGCAATAACCTCAAAACAAACTCAACCTTGCAAATAGCTCCAATTGCAACTCCTCATAAAACCCATTTTGCCACGTGTTTCTTTTTCCCACCACTAACCATAAAACTAACTATTTCAGCTCTCAAAATTCCACTGTCCACTCAAAAAATATAAAGCCAGCATAGCTTTCAGTACCCAAAAGAAGAAGAAGAAGAAACAGCAACACCCCAAAATCTCAAACAGGAACAAGAAAACAAAGAGAAAGAGAGAAGCAGAGAGAAGTTTTCTTTTTTAGCTTCTTTTTCTTCTTCTTTTCTCTTTGTAGAACGGAGTGCTCTGTTTTAGTTGCTGCAGAGTATCACTAGCAATGGCTTCTTTGGTTTCTTCACCATTCACTTTGCCATCTTCCAAGCCTGACCAACTCTCTTCTCTTTCTCAAAAACAATTCTTTCTTCACTCATTTCTTCCCAAGAAAACCAACAACCAACCCAACTCAAAATCTTCCTTGAAAGTAAAATGTGCAACAATTGGCAATGGCCTTTTCACTCAAACAACACCAGAAGTTCGTAGAATTGTGCCAGAAAAGAAAGATAATCTCCCCACGGTCAAAATTGTCTATGTTGTCCTGGAAGCTCAGTACCAGTCTTCTCTTTCAAGTGCAGTCCAGTCCTTGAACCAAAATTCCAACTTTGCTTCATTTGAAGTCGTTGGTTACTTGGTTGAGGAGCTTAGAGATGAAAATACTTATAAAACCTTCTGTAAAGATCTCGAAGATGCGAATATCTTTATTGGGTCTTTGATTTTTGTTGAGGAGCTTGCATTGAAAGTGAAGGCTGCAGTGGAGAAAGAAAGGGATAGGCTTGATGCTGTTTTGGTGTTCCCCTCAATGCCTGAAGTAATGAGGCTAAACAAGTTGGGTTCTTTTAGTATGTCACAGCTTGGTCAATCAAAGAGTCCATTTTTTCAGTTATTCAAGAGAAAGAAGCAAGGAGCAGGTTTTGCTGATAGTATGTTGAAGCTTGTAAGGACATTGCCTAAGGTTTTGAAATACTTGCCTAGTGATAAGGCACAAGATGCTAGGCTTTACATATTGAGTCTCCAGTTTTGGCTTGGTGGTTCACCTGATAATCTTCAGAATTTCTTGAAAATGATATCTGGCTCTTATGTGCCTGCACTCAAAGGGACAAAGATTGACTATTCAGATCCAGTTTTGTTCTTGGACAGTGGGATTTGGCACCCGCTAGCTCCTTGTATGTATGATGATGTGAAGGAGTATTTGAATTGGTATGATACCAGGAGGGATGCTAATGAGAAGCTTAGGGGGCCTAATGCTCCGGTAATTGGATTGGTTTTGCAAAGGAGTCATATTGTTACTGGTGATGAGAGCCACTATGTAGCTGTGATTATGGAGTTAGAGGCTAGAGGGGCGAAAGTGATACCACTTTTTGCTGGTGGACTTGATTTTTCTGGACCAGTTGAGAGGTTCTTGATCGATCCAGTTACCAAGAAGCCAATGGTGAATTCAGTGGTGTCCTTAACAGGCTTTGCTCTCGTTGGAGGACCTGCTAGGCAGGACCATCCAAGGGCTGTTGAGGCACTGAGGAAGCTGGATGTTCCTTACATTGTTGCACTGCCTTTGGTTTTTCAAACAACGGAGGAGTGGCTAAACAGTACTTTGGGGCTACATCCTATTCAAGTAGCTCTGCAAGTGGCCCTTCCAGAGCTGGATGGAGGCATGGAGCCTATCGTTTTCGCTGGCCGTGACCCTAGAACAGGCAAGTGAATCTACCCTCATTGGAATGATTCATATTTAATGATTTATTTTGCCTTTTATATTGTCAGAACTTGTTTTATTTAGGTGCTTAAATTTTCGTTGGTGCTATACAATAGGGCTTTTTCATCCTTTGGGAATTAAGACAAGTACATAAAGTTTGGTTTTTAAGCAACGTCTTTATCTTTTATACGTTAGGTGATGCCGTGTTGTCTGTTGCTTTATCTTTGGTGGTCTCTTTGTTTCCTTCGCATCCTCCACTTCTAGTTGTTTTCTGTCAAATATGCGGGCTTTGGAATCAAGTAAAAATTGCTTTCAGAGTATTGAAACGGTGTATTGATTGCAGGGAAATCACATGCTCTTCACAAGAGGGTGGAGCAGCTCTGCACTCGAGCAATCAAGTGGGCTGAACTGAAAAGGAAATCAAAGGTGTTTGCTTTTAAGCTACATAACTTTCCAATCTATATATGCACATTATATGGCTTCTATTGTTTTTCAAGAGATCATAGATACAAATAATTAACAAAAAGGTTTAAATTAATAGCAAAACCTTTTTGAGTCCAGAGAACATATATTGTGTAATAACTAATGATGATGTCCATGTAATCTATTTAAGATACCACCACTTGATAGTTGAATCTACTTTATAAACCTTTAATGGAATTTTTTGTCACATTTACCTGAAAGGGACCTTCAATAAACTAAATGTATGCATATAAAATCTTCAATTAGTTATCAATCACTTGTTTAAAATATTAGTTTAATGTTGATAATGATGACTGAAACTAAGGTATCCTTTTTTTTTTTTTTCACATGCTATGCCCAAAAACTTAATAAATCTCGAGAATATGCTGTTGATTTATTTGATGTGCTTCTAGAACTTACCGTTGCTGCTGGTTTCCTTATATTACTGTTAAGCAGATAAGTTCTCTTTTGGTTAGTTCCTTACAATAATTGTCTGATCTATGCAGACTGAGAAGAAGTTGGCAATCACTGTCTTCAGCTTCCCTCCCGACAAAGGGAATGTTGGCACAGCTGCATACCTTAATGTTTTTGCCTCCATCTATTCAGTTCTAAAAGACCTTCAGAAAGATGGTTACAATGTTGAAGGCCTTCCAGAGACTGCTGAAGCTTTAATTGAAGATGTAATTCATGACAAGGAGGCACAATTTAACAGCCCTAATCTGAATGTTGCTTATAAAATGAGTGTCCGTGAATACCAAAATCTTACTCCCTATGCTCCTGCTTTGGAAGAAAACTGGGGCAAACCTCCTGGAAATTTGAATTCTGATGGAGAGAATCTTTTGGTATATGGAAAGCAGTATGGTAATGTCTTCATTGGAGTCCAGCCTACTTTTGGTTACGAGGGTGATCCTATGCGGCTGCTTTTCTCCAAATCAGCTAGCCCACATCATGGATTTGCAGCATACTACTCCTTTGTTGAGAAGATTTTCAAAGCTGATGCTGTTCTTCATTTTGGTACTCATGGATCACTTGAATTTATGCCTGGAAAACAGGTGGGAATGAGTGATGTTTGTTACCCTGATAGTCTTATTGGGAATATTCCGAATGTTTACTACTATGCTGCTAATAACCCATCTGAAGCTACCATAGCCAAGCGCCGTAGTTATGCTAATACTATTAGCTATCTGACTCCTCCGGCTGAAAATGCTGGGCTTTACAAGGGACTTAAGCAATTGAGTGAACTCATCTCCTCATACCAGTCCCTTAAAGACTCAGGTCGTGGGCAACAAATAGTTAATTCAATTATCAGCACAGCTAGACAATGCAATCTTGACAAGGATGTAAAA